ATAGAACAATTTTCTTTAGTCGATTCTACACTGCAAAGCCTTGGAAAACTAAAGTATGCATCAATTTTTTTTATTTTCTTTGTCGTTACGGAGAAAATAATTTTTTTTAAAAGAGCACAAAAAATACGATTTCTAAACGATAATTTTTCTTTTAAAAAAAAATTATTTTCTCCGTAACGACAAAGAAAATAAAAAAAATTGATGCATACTTTAGTTTTCCAAGGCTTTGCAGTGTAGAATCGACTAAAGAAAATTGTTCTATCTCTTAACTGAAAAAACTAGATAGCTTTGCAAAATGTCTCATGGTCTTTTTAAAGCATCTGTTCGAGTCCAATCAGATGAGCATCTCGATTCAAACTCGATCAAACATCGTTCTTATACTCAGTTTTTGATCGTGAATCCGAAAAAACGAGGAGTAAAATTTTAGAAGAGTGAAAAAGGCGAAAGTTTTACGTTTTTTTAAAACTTTAGCGTTTTCTAACAAAAATGTGGATATTTTAGTATTTTGAAATTTTCTCCCTTAAAAAATTAAAATCACCCTTTTCTTAATCGGCTCGACGAGGTTGATCCAACCATATATAAAAATAGCGGGAAAATTTTTTTTTATTCAAACTTTGAATTTCTAGCATCTTACTCGGTTTTAGATGTTTAGATAATTACGCTAACGCATTCACAAGACATCATGTATGTCATAGGTTTTTTCTATTTAAAGAAAAAATCGTTCTATTAAATGATTTTTGAGTAGATTGGCAGCAATAACGACAATAATGGGCTTCTGCAACAATTCAAGTGATCAATAAATTTTGTTTGATCTAGATGATTTTTTTTATAGTCTTTAGCCAACAATCCAGTATAATCAAAGAAGCCAAGTTTTTTTTTTTTATCGCTCAGTAAACATTATTATTCGACACGTAAATATTTTCTTTTGTGGGTAAAATAAAGACAATGAATTTTCACGCTTGATCCTATAAATATTGTTGTAAGTGTATCAACTCGAAACAGCCTCATGATTAAAGTATAAAAGGTCTACAAATAATTAAATATGTAGCGTTTTAAAACTCTTTCTTAATACGTTTTATCTATAGTTTTATATAAATAAAAATCATGTTTAAACTCATCTTATTATCTGTTCTATTCACAGTTAATGGATGATTATACGGATCGTTTTAATTTAATTGATAGTTCATTGGTTACACAATTTTGTAAAAATGTTATTAAATAAAATTGAAGGAGAGAACATAAATTTACAGTTAGTTAATACAAAAATTAAGTATTAAAATACAATTCGTCGTTGATATTAATTATATAATTACTTTCATAGTTGATTCATTACATTCAACAAAATATGTTCTATGGACAATTGTTATCTACAAAACTTTATTCGTTAAATAATAAGTAACAAGGACATACTATACTTAAAACATCATCAAGAAACATATTTTTATTGCATTGTCTTATTCGAGGATTTTTTTGGCATGAGCGTATATAAATGATAGTGAATTATCACAAAATAAATATCAGAAATCAAACAATTGTGTCTTTCTTTTTCTAGATAAATAAGCTCAGTACTATTATGACTAGTATACTAATATCATTCTTCCTTCTAGCTAATAAGCAGTTCGAAACTTGTCACATTTTTTCGCTGCTAATACCCAACGAACAAGTACAATACAAACAACATCAATAGCGTTTATCATTTACCATGTTTTCCGATGTGTTTTGTTGTTGATCTTTGTTTACTACCATCGTTTTTTTTGTATGATTAACGTAGTTTGTTGTTCATTCTATTTATATACAAGAAAGTAATTATATGAAACAAAATGTGTACATTTATATGCAGTGAGAGAATTAGTGTTGTTGTTAACAAAATTATATTGTAAAATGCAAACGAATCCAATATATAGAAGAAAAAAAATTTATAAGAACAAAAGAATTTTTTGTTTTTTTTTTTCTTTTTTTATGTGTGTTTGTATGTGCCGGTGCTCTGTTGCTCCTGTTCTTCTTCCTCTTAGTGTAGAACATGATTATTAATTATAACTAAATGGAATGTGCTCAACGTAGAGTAAAAAAATCTGTTTCCGTTTCTCCGGAGTAAGTAAAAGAACAGAGAGAAATTCGTAGTCGTTTGTCTATAGGTATGCGCAATCCACAAACATCGACAAAAACAAATTCTAACTAAATAAAAATCATTATGTTTAAAAGATTCAGCTGGATATGTTTTGAAAATTGTCTTCACAAACTATTAATTCTATACTATGCTCGGAAAATTCTGACTCTGTCGAACATAAATGTCATCACCTTTACTGGAAAAGGTTATCTTTTCTCATTGAGATATCGAAATAGCTAGTGATTTAGTAAAATGGCTATAACTCAAAAAGTAAAAAGTATTTTGTCACAGAACTGGACAAGTGAAGAACTTTTTTCAAGTCTTAAGTTAAGTTATTCAAAGATATTTTCTAAGACTTAGGCCATTTCTGACTAGAAATTGAAAAGTCGTCCAAGTATTATTAATAGTCTATTATGAATATCTCAATAGGAGATACGTGTCGATTAAAAATGTTAGTATGCTACTAAGATCTAGCATCTTCACCTGATGTTAGTATTTTAAAGCGTTGAATTTGTAAAACATTTCATGATAAATTTTGATTGATAAATCGTAGTAAAATTCTTTTGAAAGAAAGATTGTCTATCGTGAAATAAATTTTTGTTCTTCTCTTCTGCTAGATTCAAAGTAATTTACTTCCAATCGAATCGATTACTGAATATAGCAGTTCGTTTGATAAATCAAATAAGGATTAAATTCTTGAGTGACATAAGACTGGATATTAGAGAGTTCAAGGCACACTTTCGTGTTATGAGATCGAAAGTTTCATATCTATCAAGGACTTCTTATATACATACAAAAAACAATAATTTCTATTACGAGTGTTAAATTCACTCTGACATGTCATCGTTCAGAAAAAATATCTTTAAAAAAATTTATTAATTCGCTAATAGATACACTATTATCAACTGTAAGTTATTTAAAACGATGTATTTGAACTTTATTTTCAAGCTCTCATACAATTACTCCGTTATCATCTCCAATTTAGCATTATTGAACGATTTCAAAGAAAAAAGAATAATCAGACGATATTTTTAAATAAAAATAGCAAATATTTTTGCCATATTTTTAGAGGGGTACTTTTTAAGAAAGTACCTTTTACTTTTTGAGTTATAGCCGTTTTATTGAATCACCAGTTGGTTAAATATCTCAATGAGAAAAGATAACCTTTTTCAGTAAAGGTGATGACATTTTTCATGTTCGACAGAGTCAGAACTTTCCGACCATAGTATAGAACTGATTGTTTTTGAAGACGGATTTCAATTTTATTTTTTTTACATTCGACTGAGTCGACAGGAAGAGTTATTTGAAAGGAAAAATGTTTAGCTTAATAATATCTCAAGTAGATGATTATGTACACTTTAGCAGTACGATAAAGGCAATAATGTTTACATAATAAGTTAGTAAGTAAATTCAATAATGCAATAATGTGGCAATAAGATCAGTAACTATTTCAAAATAATTTAGAAATTCTATTTTAACAAGGTTTAAAGCACCAGTGAGTTGATGAATGATAGAAGAAAAACAACAAGTCATAAATTATGAATAAAAAATAGTTATATTTTTTTTCTCTTTTTCTACACGCATACATCAATTATTCATTGCAAATGGCAAAATTGATGAAAAATAATCAATCAAAAATGAACAATAGGCAAAAAAACAAATATTCTACTTTCTACGTACAAGCACCTGATTTATCCATAGTGAATTTGGTGGTATTGAATAATGTGAAGTACCATTTAATATTTGATCATCAGATACGTAATGCTGGCTATGATCGATATACTGTGGACTGGATAACATGATCTAAGATAAAATATATTAAAGCGAGCAACAAACATTTTTAAGAAGAATTTTAGCAGATTATGAAAATAACAGCAAGACACACCATGCTTTTCGACATTTAATTTTGCCTGGAAACAGTAGTACCAAGTAAACATAAGATACCAACTATCTCAGAAAATCATGCCAGAAAAGGGAGTATTATTAGTTAATAGCAGGTTTAATGTCAAACAAATACACCATCTATTAATATGCAGCTGCACACATGCGATAAGAAGCTTTCATACACCTCAAATTTACTTCATACTAAGTTAATATCCCGTTCCACTCTCAAAACGTAATAAGTAAGCAGAATACAAACTTTCTTCGATGTAGTTTTGTATTTACCGAAGATACAAAATAACTTTATACTTTTATTTCTTATATCTTTAACAATGATGGTAAATTTTCAACAAAACAAGTAAAGTTTGACACTGTATAAGATTTTTAATCACTGCCAGTTTTTCAACAAAAATAACAACCGAAGATATCTAATGCAAGTGAACAAGTATAAAAAAATAAAAAAAACAACGAACAATTGCCTAGTAAAAAAAAACACAAACAAAAAAACAATAATAATTAATTTGTTTCATATACTACGAAACAAAAACAGATGTATTATCATTCCTTTTCTCGATCTTTAACAATCGAACGTAAACATGAAAAAATACAGAAGAATAATCGTGATAAAAAAAAGGTAGAAAAAGGAGCGTGAAGAGTGACAATTCATCATACAAACATGTCAAAACTGTCTGCTATTAGAATGGATCTATAAGAATAGTTTGCCAACAGGATTTTAAAGTTTTTCTCTCATCAAAGTTGAAATACAAAAGTGAAATTTAGAACTGTCTACATGCCTCTCAATTCATTATGGCTGAAAATATGACTGTGAATGCATATGATAGTTGCAAAGAAAAAGAAAACATTGTTGCGACAGTTCTAACTGGAAGAATTACCTAATTTTATAAACAGAGTTCTCATTGTTATTTTAATCATCGTTCTTCTTCTGCTCTCCAGGCAACCTTTTTTAGATGACTGTCTAATGCATAGCGTAGTTTTTTGTCAATCATTTCTTCTGTTAATGTACCATCCTCAGATGCATATGCTGTCGCCTAAAACAAAAGGACTACAAACATAGACGAAACAAATTTGATGTCCTTGAACATACCTGACATGCAGCCAGCAATTTTGCTATTTCACGTCCAGAGAATCCCTCTGTTTTCTGTGCTAGTTCCTCACATTTTTTCTCGAAGTCAAATGTACCGATTTTGATTTGTCTAGAAGTAGAACAACAAAAAAGTATATAACACAATACTTTTTTCAAGTAAAGACAGTCTATTTTACCGTTTTCGTTCAGCTGACTGTAATATGTAACTATCAAAGTATAAGTATGTCATACGTCGACGTTCATCTAAACCAGGTAAATTAAACTGTACCATTTCATCAAGTCGATCATTCACAGCCCAATCAAACTGTTCGGGTTCGTTGCTGGCTAATACCATCATAAAACTGAAATACAATAATGAATAATCTCGTTTTAAGTTGAATCTAATCTATGTCTTATTCGGTCGTACCGTGTTGACTGTTCACCAGTTCTATAGAGGAATGCATTCAATGCGGCGCGCATATCTTCACTAATTTTCTCCTGTAAAAAAAAATCAATCAGTCGAATAATGGTCAGATTTTGGAAAAAGTTTCATATAACTTTTTACCGTGGCACGCTTTTTCAGAAATGCATCGGCTTCATCGATGAATAATAAGAGTCCTCGTCTACTTGTTTGTGACCAATCAAATACTTTATGAATAGCTGTAACGGCATCTCGACCCAATGGTGCCACATCACCACCCGTCATTATTGCATAATCAAGTCCAGAATGTGCAGCTAATTTCTAAAAAACAAACAAACTGATAATTGAACACAAACAAAACGTCTTTACTACATACTTTAGCAAACAAGGTTTTCCCCGTTCCTGGTGGTCCCTAAAATAACATGGAAAAACGATTCATGATAAATCTTCGAAGTCAGTTCTAATTCACATACATGCATTAATAAATTACGAAATAGACCGTGATTCTTTTTTGTGAAACGTGTTGCTATAGCTATTTCTCTCAAACGTGACTCTAGCGTTGGGTCTAACACGACGCCTTTCAACGAATCTTCTGCTTTTGTAAAATAACGTTTTATCGTTTTGATTGGAGCACGAAATGGCGTTAAAAATGTTGTTCGCGATGTTTCACGTATCAACGGTGGTTTGCCTAATCGGGAATCGATATATTTTACAGCTGTTTGTGTGGCACCTCTCGCCGTATAAACACCCAATGCCAATAAAGTAATACCACCCGTCTAGAACATCAGAACTTATTTTCCAATTAATTATAAAGTTTGTAAAAGAACATACTGCTAGTAAAATTTTTGCAGGATTTTCCAGAATCGTTGTTATTCCTTGTCCTACCACAGAACCAGCTGTCTTTATACCTTCTAACACAGTTTTACGTCTTTCTTCTGCTTTTAACTTAATTTGCTCAAGATAAAGTTCACGATTTTCGCGTTCAATTTGGGCTTTTCCTTTCAACTCAGCTTCTAAACGTTTCATTTCATATTGATGTCGCACTTGTTCAGCATACTCGATTGAACCTAGAGCATAAGAAACATACGATGTCGAATCATTTAATACGCGTACTTATTTAAAATTACGTTGCCGGATTTTTTCTTGTTTTTCAACAGATTCTTCTTGCCGTCGTCTTTCTTCTTCTTGTACACGTGCCTGAAACGTTAACATCCATTCGAACAACAATATTTAGACCGTATAAAGACCAGTCACCTGTTCACTCTGCTGATCTTGCATTCGTTTTCGAGCTAATTGATCTTGAAATCGTGCGCGCTATAAAAAGAAGTGAATCCTACAAATGTTTAGAAAGAATTGACATTAATTCTTAACAGACTTCGTTTGCTTGCTGGGTTTCCGATTCCATCATACGACGCTTTTCTTCATTTAATTGACGTTGATGTTGAAAACGAATTTCCTCTTCATGTTGTGAATATTCCTATGTAGACATAACAGTCTGATGTTGTTGCAATGCTAACAAGATCAAACATACTTTCATTTGTTTCTGAAGTTCTAATTGTTTTGTTTGTTCTTGTAATTTGACAACATCAAATGCCTGAGTGGCATACTCTATAAAACAAAAAAAGAAAGCCTAGCAAATAATTTTCAGAATAAATACAGGAATAGTTTTACGTACGTGAACGCTCTAAATCTTTAGCAGCTGCCGCAGCTCTTTCTAGTGCTGTCGAATCAAATTTATAAACAGATTCACGTCCTGCAAATGAACTGGCATCTGTTGGTTTATTGTCATTTGGTGGCGGAACATCGCCCGCACCTCCAACTCCACCAACAGAAGGCGTAGAAACAGGCGATGGTTTGTTATAACCAAATATCCAAGACATCTAAAATCAGCTTCGAACGTAGAACAAGCAGGTATCAGACATCGGCTTGGGCATCTTTAATTTCGAAGCAAACCTTTGTTTCAACGAAGTGCAGTTTTTATAAATGATCAATCAATAAATAGTAATACACAAACAAATGGAATTAATGTCATAAAATCAATGATTTTGTAACTAACAATTTAGTCACTCAGAAAAGAAAAAATTGCGATTCATCGCTGTTATGTTTTCTGAAGTTCAGAACTAGACGTCACTTCTAACAAACTGCGCATTTAAACATACGGACTATCTAGAGCGCTGAAATTATGCCAATAAATTGATAGATAACCAGAAAGTGATCCTTTTTGTTTTCCATGTTTTACATAATTCTGAGATTGGTCGCAAACTCAATCAGTTATATGCTTCGAACAAATGTTGATGTATTTTACAGGCTACGTTGCGAATTTTGACCATGAGAAACTTCCACGGTTCATCGTAAAATTTTCTCAATATATTCAAAGCAAAAAGCTTCTAACATATTCCGTGTTACGGACTTTTAGTTTCTCCAGTAATCGGCTCATGGAACAAAAGGAAGTTATTGGTTAAAGAACTTTTTCAGATAGGAAATTGAGATGGGAAGGAAGTAGTTGAATTGATAGCATCGACAAATATGTCAGAGTTTTAGCTTATATTAGCAAAGAATGAAGGGTTTCTCGTGAAAGCTGACACTTTTTCTCCGTGTTCTGTAGAAACATTCGGTAAGCCGTTGGCGGTTGTTCCAATTTCTCTTTTATTTAATTTTATGCTTTAACATGGAAGTTAAGTTTTTAGACGAGTTCTTCATTCTTTACTTAAACGAGATAGAAGTCTGAAAGACGTACTGAAAACTGAATAATTAGAGAATTTTGTTTTTAAAAGAAGTTTAGAGTACTCTATTAGCGATGACGATTTTAAATTGATTTTTTCAGATTAAAAGGTTTTAGTTCTATGCTGTCGGAGTTTTATGCAAATTAGTTCTGATTTGCACAAACTTTTTGTAATTTTCATCAAAGAATCTCCAAAACTTATCTCGAAAAAGCTATGACCATCTTTTGATTTCGTACTCCATTTTCTCTTCCTTCTCCAAAACTTGCACATCTTATCTCTATCCGTAATCGTCGTTTTTGTAAACTCAAACATCGCTACACGTCTTACAATCTTGCTGAGTTTAAGGCAACAAATCTTGTTCTCTCTCTCTATCGCCGTGAAATGTCGTCTTACCTCGGCTCTCGCTCTTCTTTATTTTCGGATCCTCGCAAGTTTTGAAGGTCTATCAAAAAATTATCTTCTCACTATACTCTACCTCAATCTATGTTTCTTGGCTCTAAATCTGTTTACGCTGATGCGGACAAAGCCGAACTATTTAACTCTCATTTTTCCTCTTGCTATTCTTCTTTTCAGGAGCAAATTCCTCCCTCTGCCACTGCAGACTTGCCAATGACGGATAAACAGCTAGATTTCTCCATACGAGATATTAAGAGTTTACTCCGAAAGTTGGATAAAAAGTCTACTGTTGGCATTGATGGAATCCACTCTTCCTTCCTCTCTTCTTGTACTGACATTTTTCCACCTAATCTGTATTTTATTTTTTATTTGCCTTTCTTCTGGTAATTTTCTTGCTCTATGGAAAACTGCGTATGTTGTTCCTATTCACAAAAAAGGTGCTCGTGCTGATATTTCTAACTATCGTCCTATCTCTCTTCTTCCTGTAGTTTCCAAAGTATTTGAGCGTCTAATTTATAACTTTATCTTTTGTCATCTGTTTAAACATTCCTTTTTTGTAAATAAACAATTTAGTTTTCGCCCTAAACATTCTACTCTTGATGCTTTGTTGTTTCTAATTTTGCTGGTGTGTTGGTGTATCTTTTGATTTCTCTAAAGCATTCGACTCTGTTTCTCATTTTCTGTTGAAATAATTATCTCGTTGTGGTCTTAATGGTTCTTTACTTTCCCTCTCATCGTCTTACCTATCAAACCGTTCTCAGTGTCTGCGTGTGAATAATTCTATATCTTCTCCTGCTCTTATTTCTTCTGGCGTTCCCCAAGGTAGTGTACTCGGACCGCTTCTATTTCTTATTTACTTGCCTCTTTCTCTTCCACCTAACTGTGAAATCTCTCACTTTGCGGATGATGTTTTCTTCCTTTTGTTCACAATCAATTGTACTTAAATGCTGTTCCTCTTCCGGTTGTTTCCTCTGCTCGATGTCTTGGTGTTCTTGTTTCGCATGATCTGAGATGGAGTGAGCTTGTGAGGGACATGGCTCTTGTTTGCCGGCATAAGTTGGGTGCATTGAGTCATGTTTCGATTAGCTCCATCAAAGGTTCGACGTCGGAACTATATTTCTTCTATTCTTCCTAAAATGGATTATTGTTGTACCTTGTATGATAGTTCCTTTTGTTTCTCTGTTCTTGACTTTGTGAATAAACTTGCTTCGTGTTATTTCTCGTAATTTTAATTATCGTTTTTCTAGTTCTTTACTTGTATCATAACGTTCTCTTCCAATCCGCTCTCTTCGCCGTAAGTATTTTAGACTTGTTTAGTTTTTTAAAATTTACCATCATCTTAATCCTCTCTCCATTTTTTATCCTGTGCATCGTCCTCACTACGCTTCTTTACGCTTTCATCACTCCAAACATGTTTGCATTCCACGTCTTGTTAACGATCTTTCTTCACAAACAGTTTTTTCCTCCTTTTTTTTTTATAGAACTGTTACTGACTGGAATAAACTACCAGAATCAGTGATTTGTTTTTCTTCTTTGTTATCATTTAAAAGTGCTCTATCTCTACATTTCTTACAGTAAAGTCCAGCCATATTTCTAGTACTAGGTCCAGCCATACCTGTACTAGTTTTTCTTTTAATTTTGTTATGTTACTTTACTTTTTTTTTACTTTGTTTTCATTTGTTTACTTGATCTGTCTCTGTCTATTAGGTCGTGTGCGAAAAATTGATACTTTTTCATTGGTCGCGCCACCATAAATTTATCAAATATCAAGTCAAAATATCAATTTTTCGCACATGATCGTCTATTACTCTAGTTTTCTTTTATCAGATTGTCTTTTCTATTCTATTGGCTCGAGTCATTGTCGGGAACCTTTATGACTCTTACTTTTCGTGGATAAATAAATACTACGACTGCTACTTGATCAGATGAGGAGCCACTTAGTCAAATGCGACTCTCAGAGTAGGACTAAAACTGTTTTTTATCCAGCATGACCACGTCCATCCTTGGCGGCGGATGTAGTGTTTCTAATAGCAAAGCGTACAGATGCTTCGAAATTTTAAAATACGCTCTGTTTTACGCTTTGCTATCGCTGTTTACGCTTTGTTTTCTAATAAACCTTTTAATATATTTAAGAGAAAATAAGAAAAACCTTTTTAACTGTCTTAAGTGAGTAGTCAGACAGGAAAAGAGACTTTGTTCTTGTTATACAAAAACAGTGATGTTTTTCCGTTTTTGTAATTGTCTGTGTCTGCAAAGTTGCTTTCTAGGGAAAAAACCTGTATAAAGAAAGTTTCTATTTTTCTCCTCTAATTCCTGATGCCTAATTGATGCTTTCTTTTTGAGATTTGAAACGTGTACGCTTTGCGAGAAAAAACAGGATAAAGTCTGTTAGCAACACTGGACGGATGGCACCAGGATTTCCGATTAGGGTGGGAAAGTGGAGGACCTCCCCACCCTACATTCTGACACCGTCCGCCAGATTTTTGAAACTTTTGTCGTGGAATTTGTCCAACCTTTTTGTGAACATGTCGCAATTACCTTGCAAGTATTTAATATGATAAATTGTAAGAGACTGACAGCCATTATCAACAGCTACAAACTACCTGTCAAAATAAGTGGCAGACAGTCCTCCAAAATAGAAGGACAATTTAAGGTGGACATTTTCAATAGCCACAGTAAGATGAATGCCATCGTCATGGTAGGCAGAAAACTCTTATCTGTGATATTTCATCAGTCAAACAAACAAGTTTAAATGAAATTCCGCTTTTTTTCGATTGAAAATAAGCGGAAAAAGAACTACAAAATGGAAGACTAGATATATATGTATCTGTATAATAAACGACACGTCAAAATATTTTAAGAAAACGTTTTTTGGCAAACATATTCTTTTTCTTTCTATCGTTGTAAAAGTCAATAAGTACTTACTTATAGAAAGAAAAAGAATATGTTTGCCAAAAAACGTTTTCTTAAAATATTTTGACGTGTCGTTTATTATACAGATACATATATATTTAGTCTTCTATTCTGTAGTTCTTATGGCAATATATGGTGTTGGGTCAAACGAAGTCGACCGGCTTTCTAGCACGCTTCGTCGAATGAAAATATGGACACGAGATCGTATGGGAGACGTGATTCTTGAAATATGTATCAAAGCTTCGAATTTACAGCTTCCATCAACACCAGAAGCTATTATTTGTTATAAAAGATTTTATTTCTCATCCAGAGCGAGCCAAATAACGAAATATACCGTTATTTCAGCAAGATGACTCGGATGAGAATGACCGGATAAAAACTAAATATTGTTTTTGTTCAAAAAGTAAATTCTAATGCGGAGTAACAGAAATTTTTTTCAATGAACAAACGTTTCACTTGTTTAGAAAAAAACCTGTTCGCCAAAAAAATCTCCCCACCCTGATTAAAAAGAATTGGAGATCCTAGATAGCACTTTAGTGGTGTGATATCTGTTAAAGTTGTCTAGGTTGCTGGTGTAGCATTTAAAAACATCTTTTAAAAATAATTTTAATCATACGAATGAAAGATGTGTCGGAAAGCCTAGTACGAAGCGATTTGATATATTGATTAAAGTTTTCGTGAGACACTCGTGGAATTTTATGGATTCACACCAACAAGCCTGTTTTGATGTTCGCTTTCTTCTACCCAAGTCTGATGGTATCATAGTTTCGTTTTCCATTATGATAGAATCTAATTTTGTTCTGCTAGAAGTCCTTGTAGAAAAAAATTTCATCTAAGAAATGTTTGCTCTTTCTATTACAATGATACAATGCGCTTTTTGTAAAAGTTGAATGAACTCGTGCATTGAACCGATTTACTGTAAAATATTTGACTATAAAAGCAAACTGCAACTCAATTAGACATTGACTTGTTATTTTAGCCTTTTCAAGAGAGTGACGCGACTCCTATCTTAACTTTAGATCGATCTTTTTGTTTATTTAATATGCCAACAAAACTCTATTGTGGTAATGTACCTCCCAGTGTCAGTAGTACTGAATTGAAAGAATTATTTGAAAAATATGGAAAAGTTCTTGAGTGTGATATTATCAAAGATTATGGATTTATAGTAAGAAGCAAAAAATAAGAATGTTGTTTTCATGAATAGTTGTTTTATTTTATATTGCTTTTCTTTTAGCATATGGAAGATGCCAGTAAAGCTAAAGCTGCGATTGCTGCATTAAACGATTTCAATTTGAAAGGAACAAGGATCAAAGTAGAGGTATGTTTCAAGTGACAAATTTTCAGAAACTCTTCCTGTTTCTGTTAATTATTATCCTGGAGAATGATCTTTTTTTGAATTATCAAATAAAGAAATTTGATGTTTTCTTTATAAAATACTTTTCGAGATCAACAACGTTATGAGGAGGTTACTCTTGTCAGTCAAGTGTAATTCAATTATTCTTAGACTGAAATATATGTGGAATATCTTTTTGTTTCTATCCAGATGTCTACAACTCAAACAAGAAAAGGCGAACGGTCACAGTGAGTATTTATCATATTCTAAGCGTTTTACTTAAACATTTTTAAAAATGCTGTGCGCGTAACTTGGTTTGTTTTCTATTGTAGGAAACGCATTCCATCCAATATGGGTTCAAGTCCGCCTCCAATGTCAATGAGAGCTTTACGGTTCGTCTATATTTTCTTATTATTTAGCCTGTAGAGAAAGATTAGCTATTGGAGCCCTAGAGATTACAGGTCTTAACAGTATCCTGTGCCTGTAATATTCCCATAAGGATGAGAATGTTGACTAGGGAAGATTACGAAACTAAGCTAATATCTATCAAACTTGTATGTTGAGCGCTGAGGATACTGAGAGATGCTAACTACTTTTCTACACGTCGATCTATGTTCGAGAGAATATTAGGTATTTAGCTTTATTTCACTTATTTTTCTGTTGTTTTTCTAGTGATTATCCAATGATACCCATACATCGAAATGGTTATGGTTCAGATCGCTTTTCGATGCGTTCAATTGATCGTTATCAACCTTATGATCATCCGTATCTTCGTCGTGGTGGCGATCATCGAAGTTTGGGACCGTCAATGAGTTACGGTGATCCTTATTTACGCGATCCATATCGAGACGATTATTATCGTGCATTGGCGGCATCTGATCTGCATCGTTCTGTACGGTACGTTGCTTCGAAAGAAAAATCAAAAATCTACGTTTTGTTGTTCGGTATTTGTCTTTTTATTACTCATTTTTTCTCTCGACATATCTTCCTTCGTACGAAGCGATACGTAACATCAGCAAACATAGACGATACGAATTGTTTTCTTTTTGTTCGTTATCAATCGAAAAAAAAACATCTCGATAATTCGGTATATAAGATAAATGTTCAGTGTTTTCAGGTATGATTATCACGGCTCGTATCCGTCTGGTCCGTATTCGTTACAACAATCATCGAGTTCGTCGCGAAGGTAAGAAATACGATGACAAACAATTGGGTCGAGAAAAAAATCGTCGCACGCTCTCGTTTCGAAGTCGATAATGTTACCACACAGTAACAATATCTATGTGGTTCTTCTTCGTGGGCTTTCGAAATATTATTCAGACAAGTGGTTCGTTTACGAGGTCCGTTTTGAGGAATACCGCAGTTTATACCGTTCCGATTAATGTGTCTAGTCATTTAGTCAGATGTTTTTGACGTAATGTCACTAATTATGCTCTTGGCCATCATCAGCCTTTCATTATATTTCTTTGCATCTTTCATAATTTTGATAAATAAATAAGTAAATATTACTTTAGTCGGTATGCGTCGCCACCATCGCCTGATCGTTTTCCGTCTGATAGAATGAATGGACGTCAAGGTTATCAATCACCGCCGTCTCGTCGTTCATCATCATCTCGACAGTCAAAAGCGACGCGATCAAGACGTTAAACAAATTTAATAGCATACATTCATGCTCTAAACTATTAAGTGATTATTCTTATGTTTGTGTATGTGTTATCGTTTTGTGAATGAAATTTTTAGCTGTAACTACATTTCTTTCTCTAATTGACCGCAATGAATAGAGGTTTTATTAGGGGATGTTTATTTTTTAATTTTTTTGTTGTATGAAAAATATAGCACATATAAGGGAAACAATTTTGAGCTATTTAACCATAAAAATGATGTATGACTGGTTTTGATGAAATCAATCATTATTTACCACTACCGCTTTATTTTTAACTGAAATGTGTTTTCTGTGTTAACTTTATTCTAACTTTTGAGAGAGGTCTACACAAATGTTTATAGTCATCGTTTGCCTTTTGTAAAAGTTTTGATTCTTCTGCTTTGAATTTTTTCTTTTGTATCCTTGCTCTATTCCTATTTCAGATGAGCCTTCTTGTCGTACATTTAGATCTTTCACATTATCTTTCCCGTCTCAGCGTACGCGAGGTTTGTTCTCAGTATGTTAGGTTAAAAAATTCCAGCCAACCAATTTCTAACTTGAAAAGTCATAAATTTTTTTCTTATTGCATCCAGCCTCATCGACTTCCTAATATTGTTGTTGTTGTTGTTGTTGTTGTTGCCTTTTGCTACATGTGTCTGTCGTAAATACTCTCTTTTTTTTGTATTTTTTCTGTGCAGTTTGCTTTTTGCAGTAAGAAATGTGTTTAGTGCAAGTTTCAGACTGATGATTTGTTTTTTTGTCAAAGCACTGGTTCCATCCTTTGTTTGGTTTCACAAACATAAGGTCTTTTTCTGTTGTCTAAACGGCGAAATAAAGATGGTATGTTGTATCACAACTGAGGAAAAGATCACTAAATTTTGTCTATGGAAAAAGAGACTCGTTTCACATGAAATTATAGTTCGTGGAAAAAGTAACTAAACAGTTAATGTCGATTGGCTTGATATTCAGTACTATTTAACTTTATGGCGAATATTTTGGTTGTAACTTTTCCCACTGACTGAGCTCATTTCATTGGTCGAAAACATGGATCGACCAATGAAATGAGGTCGATAAGGTTAGTCAGTCAGTGAAAAAAGTCACAACCATTCTGTTTTAGAAGTATAAATACAAAGGATATTTTTGGAGTTTTTATTCAATTAATTTGTTATCCTTTAGTACAATTGCGGCTGCAACACCCTTAACTTAGCTTACCATGATTAAGAGTTTATTATAAATATAATTTCTTATATACGAATTTTCATTGTCAAGTTTTAAAAAATCGTACAGAGTGACTATATATTTTTTATATCTACTGTTGCCCTTTAATACTAAGAATGTTATTGATTTTTTATCGTTATTTTCATCCCCTTATATTTATCCTAAAAGTTAAAACTAAAGAAAACCAACGTGAAGGGTTATGGGTACGTTTGATCAACATTATGGGTAAAAAAATGAATGTATAAAGAATCACGACTTTGCCTTTAATTCGACGTTGTGTTAAGCGTAGTTTAATTATTACCTATTGGTGTTACATTAAAATTTTCTTTTGGGACTAAGTTCAAGAATTTAATCGAATGATTATATCAAGTCGAAAACGTGTTTTAAAATTGTTTGTTCTTGGTTTACTGGTGTCTCATATTATTCTATATTCTAAAATGATTACAAGTAATCTTTTTCGTATGGCAAAGAATGTAGCATGCGTAAACATAAGCAAAATGTACCAGTGGTGGATGGAATATCACTTGTTTTTTGGATGGTATAACACTAGATAAAGAGAATCTAACAAATAATATACAAAATAGAGTTTACATGATTTATTTTCCGTTGATTTTTTCCACAAGAAAGGAAAAAAATATAATTTTCATTATATGTAAGGATTTACTTTCCATTAATTATTTTGACGAATAGAAATAACAAATAATATTTTCAAAAGAAGAATACCACTAAGACATTGCTATACCAATTTTCTTATTGATAAATAAACAATGTTATTATATGAGGAAAAAACGAGACCAAGTAAATCCATCGAATAGTAAAAACAATTCACTTTTTTGTTGTCTTGTAACCTGATAATGGCAATGGAAGTTGTTCAATCGATCGAGGAAGTGGTGGATGAGTTTTACAACGTTGCTTTTGTAAGGTATTTTTATTGTATAAATTGCTGGTAAATAACCAAACTGATGATATGGGAGCACCAACTCCAAAAAGTCGAAAAAGTAAAGTAATAACGGATGAATGTTTGATGAAATTATGGTGACGTTATGATATCAGTCGTATTGATATTCCACCTTCTTTGAAAACTAATGGTATGAGATATTCTTAATGACCATCAAAACGTAGAACAGATCTTATTTTTTCTTAGTGAGATTCTTTTTTTGAAAATAAATCTTATTTGTTATTTCTCCTTATCAATATAATCAGTGGAAAGTAAATCCCTAAATATAGCGAAAATTATATTTTTCTTCTTTTCTTGTGGAAAAAAACCAATTAAGATAGGAAAAAATCAATAGAAAGTAAATCGTGTGCTCGACAAAATAGATATTTTCACTATCAAATAAATATTTGTTTCTATCACCAAGTCTATCGTCAATTAGTAACAATTCTTGAAACCATTCTAATAAACCTTCGATTCAATGTCGACATAAATTTCAATAGATTTATTCCGATTTGATTTTAAACTTCCAATTCTCCAACCAGAATTCTAGACAGTGAACTTTATATGGTAATACAGTTTTCATGTATGTTTGTTATGAGATAGAATTTCTATTTTAATTTGTAGATACAAACTATTGCATCAAGTGAGCCATTACCATCTTTTTGAAATTGGGTTCAAAGAAGTTGCTGATTCTCTAAACAAAAGTTGATTCTATATAGATGTTATATGATTTCAAAATTAGACATTGAATGATACAACAAAGTATAATTTATCTTTTAAAAATAAACGATTCATAAGAGCGAAGAATGTTTTAAAGTCTATTAAAGACCAGTGCAACAAAGTAGCAAAATAAATTAGAAGCATATCCTGCGATTTGGTATCTTTGCAAATGTAATTTATTAAATTGTTTCTTTAACATTTTAATTGATTACGGTGTTATTAAATTTCAGGAAACTAATCTGCATTATTGAATGCAATGTTTTATTTACCTATTACAAATGTTTGGAAAAGCGATAGACTGTAAAGAGTTGAATAAAAAGGAAAAAACTTGAGAAAGAATAGAATGAAGTATTACGCATGCATGCAACTAGGAAGCATGTGATACAATAAGGAAATGAAGCAATATATATAGGAACGCGGTCTTTTGTGCGTTCATCGAAGAAAAAGAGATTTTTTGTATTTTTCTGAAACATCACAGTGGCAAAAAGAAAAATAGAAACATAAAAACACGCGTGGAATGAACACAAAATAACATTAAATATTGTAGAGAGGTTAGTTTCAGACAAAATGTGCAGTTAGTTTCTGGTTCTCAGTTAAATTTCTCTCCTGTTTTTTTTCCAGCAATTTCAATGTTGAAACTATACTCATTTCTCCTCTGCATTAGCAGCATTTCCATGAGCTGGGATTATGGAGCTTATTCATTTGATGATGATGCTGATCAATATTTTACATCAAGAGATCAAGAACAAGCGATTCATAGTCCATTCATCACTGGATATCAATACGTATCGGGTAAAAATAGGATAGTTAGTTATACAACGCACTTTAGCGGTCAATAATCGTTTCTTCTTGTTTCTATTAGAGAGGTGATTTGAATAAAGAAACTTGAGCAAATAAAAATCTGTAACAATATGCAAGACTGATTTTTTAGGGATCTTACGATGTCCATAAGTAACGATAACTTAAATTTTTTAGGCGGTGCTGGTGAGGGTTCACAACATTTAAGTCCGAGTGGAATTATTCCAAATCATCCAGAAGTTAAAACAGATGAACAATTGCCGTTGTATTGTGATCCACCAAACCCGTGTCCATTAGGATTTGGAGGTAAGTGATTTCATTGCTGTTTTTCGTTCACTCTGTACTCATTTTTTGTTGTAATGAATGTAGCGGATGATTGTGATGCCTCATCAATGGAGAAATTTACTGCAGAGTATAGTCGACATTATCAATCAAGTCAAGACTGTGAATGTGATGATGATCATAATGAATGTTCAACAAACAACAATATCGTAGTAGGCGTTTTGTTCACAGATTAATAGAAACAAGAAGTGACTCCTTTGTATATTTTAGTATGCTCTTCCAACTAACGGTATATTGAAACGGTCACGACGAATACGAAGAGTATGTATAATTAGCCGATCTAAATATATGTATTAAAATTTGTATCATAAAATTTTTATTTTTAGGATATCAGAAGGAAACAACAACAAAAACATCAAAATAACACAAAACCTACAAATCCATATAAAGATGGTCAACACCTTTATTTTCATGTTGCGAAAAAATCACCAATGTACTAAACACTACTGTAACCAAATCCAGACGTACTCTTGACTATAATATTATCATGATAAACCTATAGCTTTTTTTTTACAGTCGATAATTTGTGTAATTACAATACAATCTTTATGTTTTTGACAAAACAGCAACTGATATGCAAGATCATTTTCTTGCATAATAAACACGAATATGGTCTATTCTCTCTTTAAATAAATGTCCTAATCTTAAAACTCAATATTTAGCGTGCCTATAGCATAGATATGGTATATCATCTTCGTTGCTTGGAAGACGATATTTATATTTTACTAATTTGATTCTGAATTGAATATATCTCTGTTCAAACCTAAGCAAAAAGGGGGTTTTCATCATTAGAAAGATGTACGTTTCAGCTATTCGAGTAAAAATATTACTCTTGAACTAAGTACAGGATTTTTTCGAAAACAATACGAAATTTCAAAACTGACATGAAAATGATTCGGTGCCCATAACTGTGCAATGCAGAAGCGCTAAGACACAAATAAATAATTAAAATATAGAATCCTCTAATGATGTACCTAAAAAGCTTTTTTCTTAGGTTTGAGCGAAGATATATTCAATTCAGGATTACAAAATATTGAATTATACGACTGATTGACACAATAACATCTTTAGTAGAAAAGGGTAGCTCAAAAATGTTTTTTGTGATATTTGTCAGTGATGCTTAGCTTGAATCACGGAATGTCTCTTACATACCCTACGTGGTATTTTAGTGTATTCTTAGTTTGTTAACAGGATGAAAAATAAACTTTTAGAAGCAAAAGTTATTGGAGAGAATTATTTATAATATTTTCTACTAGCTGAATACATGTACGATGTCTTTTTCGGCGCTTCATAGATAATCTGACTATTTTTTCTGTGACCTGATGAGCAAGATGATGACATTGTGTATTGTGGTTCATCGTGATCTTTATAGACGACATATTTTGCTTCCCGCCTTGGCGAGAGATCCGCTCGTCTTTGTACAACGCGTACGTACTGTTTTTGTTCGTCGTCGTCTGAATCATCTCGCTGTATTACAACTTGTTTTTTAGGTTTTTCTTTTTCATACACTGTTTGTTTATCGCCCGTCGTTGGATCAAAAATAACTTTTCGAACGACTTTTGTTGATTCATCACCATGATAGATACCTTTTATTTTTGGGCGACTTTGTTCAATTTTTTTCTTCGGTTCTCTTACAATCGAACGTTCATTGGGTGTCTCATACCAGACCATTTGTCGTCTCTCGAATTCTGGTGTCGAATCACGCAATACTTTTATGACATTATCGTCATCGTCAACTAAAACTTTTTCACCATTTCTTGTTTTTCGAACATGAACACGTTCTCTCTAAAAAAAGTAAACAATAAACACATACATGAATAAATATTTGACGATAGTAACAAGAAGAGGCATACGTCGTTTGTTCCACTCGATTGATAACGGCGATAGGATTCATCTGCTGAAACATATTTTATTTGATGTGCGGGTTGTTTTGTTTTTACAATTCGTCTTGATACCGGCTCATCACCACAATACTCTTCTTGATCCGAAACGACAACTTGTGGCTGCCTCTTTTGTTTTTGACTTCGCACAATAACGTATTCATCGCGAACACGATCTGACATTTTGAACTATTGTAAAGTTTAACTAAATAAGATCTAGAAATAAATTAAAAATCTATAATGATAAAACCTTCTCAATAAAGTTTAAGTGTATCTTCTATGCATCTCAAAATTTGTTACAGTACAACTTTTGTTACATTTCAGAGAACAGGATTGCTTAGACTTCCAGAATATGATTCTGTTTTATTCTATACTTTCGGAGCTTATGTGAAATCTTTCAACTCATTAATAAAATGGAAATGCCAAGCATAATAATTACTTAACATTAAGGTAGTATGTATGGTATAAGACCGATCCTACATTACTTACCTAAATTTCAATGGAATTTTGTTTTTTTACTCTTTAGGCAATACGAACAAGATGCGTATAAAGGAAAGTTAATCTGAAGGCTAGAAGTGTTATTTCTATCTCATCGTAACTTCTGACAGAGCCATCTAACCCTCAAACAGAAAGGTGTTAGATATTAGTTTAGAATTGTTCGTATGGACTAAATGTCAAAACTACGAAAACAAAATGTCAGTGTAATGTTAACGTTGGTTTGGAATAGAAGAAGTGGTTATGTCGATCCGATCTGACTTCTTACACAAACTTCTAAAGGATTCTCTTACAAGTAACAGACTTCAGAAGTGTTATTAAAAAGGTGGTGGAGTAAATTCATCGTGCTTCGTCGAACTAAAAATGTATAGAAAAACAAGAAACAAATTTTATCTCAAATGTGTGAGAAAATGTTTCTATCACTATTTTGTGCATCTCTCAGCAGGATATTTCTTGAATCAATAAAGTTTCTATGGTATTGTAGAAGAAAAAAACTGATTAATTCTTTGTTAAAAAGAAATGATTTTTTGTGTGTATTATAAACAATCAACATTATTTTTGACAATTAAAATTGAGGTGGATGAGAAGCATTTCGCATATATATTTCAGCTATTTTAAGGTTTTACGTACTTCTTTTCCATTACGCTTTACTATCAATAGTACAAATGGGCGGAATCTGGTCCTGTATTTTTCATCGATTGAGATATCACAACTGGTCGATATTGTCGACTATAAGAAAAGAGAGAGAAGTCGATTGAAATTCAAAAACTTTGAAAAAGTATATTATGCACTCTAAGAGGATGAAATATTCGTTTGCTATCTATCCTCGACAAACTTAAATGTTCTTATTTTATTTGGTTAACGAGTAGGTAAATACAATAAATAGTTTTGGATCGATATAATGATGCATTCGATAACAAAAAATCTTTTCGCAATGGTAGCATTCCTTCATTAATTTAAATTTCCAAAATATTTGCATTTTTTGCGCGCCTATAACAACAAATTTTGATTTAATACCATCTATCTGTTTTTTTGTTAAAAACATCGGTTTTAAACTTTGTCTGTTGGATAAGTGCATAATAATTTTGTAATTAACATCACGAATAATACAACGATTAAACAAATCGGATTAATGACTCAGGGTAGTCCTTGGTAAGATACTCTTAGATTGAAAAAGAGTAACAAATGCTTCTATCGCGCACGTTGGAAAATTGATTACGGGTTCAGATGTCCAACAGTACTATAGGGCTGTGAAAACTGAAGAGCTGAAAATGCAATAGATATTGATCTAGTAATGTTTCTCATTGATAAGTTCAACACTCAATACCTCTTAGTGCTTATTTGCTCATTACTAAGCGAGATTAGAACCGAAAGTTTTATTGCTCTCTACTATTACTTTCCAGGAACTGATGGTTCATATAACTAAAAATTTATCTTCTGATTTATTTCTTCAGTAATACCGATTTTTTCAATTGCATTGATTGGACACAAACTCGTCGATCGGGTTATCAAATTGGGGCTAATGAGCCAGATGCACCTCAGTACAAGTACAGAAGAAGTGGTACGTATAGTAGTGATGGCGAACAAACTGGTAATAAAGCTCCTACGGGTAATGTATCGAATGGACTAAGTAAACGAGACGACAATGTTTATAGTACATCAAAGGACATACCTAGCCAAAAAAGTAATTCTAAAGTCGGGAAGTAATTCACAAAGTTATGACAAACTTACCGGTGGATCGTTCTCAACCACGCGATTTTGTTATCTAGATAAGAGAACAAAATCGCGAAGTGTAGCCGCGACTGATCGATTAAAATCATTGAAAAATAAAGCAAACGAATCGAAATTAACACCGTTCGAAAAAAATAATAAAAACGTCAGTGATTTTGCTATTCAATCAGCAACGCAATCAGGACGCAAATCGTCAACATCGAAACTAAAATCGTCTTTGTCGTCACCAACAATGAGCATGCTTGGAGATAGAACACTGCAGTCAAAATCCAGGGAAAAAACTAGTCTCCAACAATCTGAAGAAATACCAGTGGCAGCATGGTATCAAGTGACAACTGGACAAACGCTTGGCGAAGGTGGCTTGTATGTATTTTTTATATTACTTGATTTTTTTCTATCCAACATCTTCTGAATTATTACATAATCATTCAGGCAATACATGAATATTTTAGCGGAAAAGTAGTGAAAGGAACATACAACGGACGCACAGTTGCAATAAAGATTCCATTAAGACTAGAAGATTTTAATGAAGCATTAAATGAGTTTCAAAAACTCAGAAATTTTGTGCATAGGAATGTTGTTGAAGCGATAGCGTATTGCAAAACTCCTCCTATGTTAATCATGGAGTATATGGAGGTAAGTTCTGTATATTTCATCTCTTATTAGTAACATGATTGTAATAATTTCGTTTTTAGGGTGGCACGTTGTACGGTATGAGCTTTTCTTCTTCGTTTTAATTATTCATATTGTTTATGAAATAATTCGAGCTTTTTAGGTTGGTTGCATAATGGAGAAAACAAGACTAGAAAAATAAATTGGTAAGTGAGGTTTTAGATGTCTTTTATGTAATAATAAACTTTGATCAATCTTTCAGGTATCAAGGAATGTCACTGCTACTGGATATTGCACATGGTGTTAAACTTTTACATGGTAACATTGTTTTTATGCTCCAATTAGAAATGTCAAATCGTTAAATATATGGATTTTGTATTTTAGATTCGAATTTGTTGCATGGCGATTTGTCCAGTAACAATGTTCTTTTAACAAGTGATCATGAAACAGCAAAAATTTCAGATTTTGGTACTGTACAACTGGTAGAGAAATATATCAATGCCTCTCTCGCCGGTCAAGTGGACGAGGCGATAGGTAAGCCTTCTGTCGATAAGATCGTTAACAATAATGAGACACCCTCTCATCATTGCACTAGCAAATCATATTGTCTTGTAATTCTAAATATAATTTTACACATTTATATTTAGGAGCTTTCAGGTACACTTCATTGCTTGATATCTGCATTGTGCGAATAGTTTTAAATTTCTTATGTCTTTATTTTTTCTTTTTTACTCTATCTTTTGCTTTATTTCTTTAGATGGATGTCACCTCAGAGATTTCGGTATTACAGTTCTAACGTATATCATCAAGCTAGTTTATAATTCATCTCTGCTTTCTTCATTTAGATTTTCCAAACCCGATAGCTACTCTGATGTTTGGTATAAGAATATATTTCTCTATTGAAGTGAATACCAGATGTATAATTTTGTTCTGGTAGGTCGTACGGCTGTATATTAATGGAATTCTTGTCCCAACCACGACGAATACCATTTTATGAAGCGAATACAACTATTCTAATGAATAAATTAGAGAGTTATACAGAAGGTGATATCAGAGATTTGGGTATTCCACTAGGTAAGTTTATTTGCGCCATTAAGATACTTTGAGTTTTAATTATTTTTATCTCAACTTGAAGGCGAAATAGATCAAACATCACCTCCAGAATTAGAAGAGTTAATGTATAATTGTTTGAAAGCAAAACGAACAGATCGTCCAGACTATGGTAAGATATGTGATATACTTGAGCCAATTTTAGAGAGTATTAAAACATCCTCAGCATACCTGACATCAAGAAAAACAGGCGCAAAAAGTGCAAAAACATCATCAAAGAGCACAAAGAGAATGGGTGGACATAGTAAAGGTGGAAGAGGAACAGATCAGAAATGGAAATGATACTGCGAAAGGGACTTTCATCATATTCATCATACATCATATTGAAATACGATAACATTGAAATTATTAATTATAACCTGTTTTTGATGCCTGACTGAATATCGAACATTCTCAGTTTTAACATTTCTTGTACGAGTTGCAATTTATTATTTGTCCTTAGAATCTTTGTTGAAGCGAACTTCGATGATAAAGTATGTCGATATTAAAGTAAAAAATATATGAAATTTTTTTCACTATTGGTGAAAATTAAGAAAAATAACTTCTGATTGCTATATTTCAAAATAAACAGAAGGAATTTTCGATTGATACTAACTTTTCTCAAAGTAAAAGGAAAAGACAAAAGTTTCGGTTACTTGACAGACACGTCGTTTTTAAATAACTATATTTTGCGTTCTCTCAGGATTCAATTTCTCTGAATAATGGTATATAACTGATATCGTACAGAAGTTTTTCTGAAAAAGAGGAATCGAAAAATTTTGAAAGGAGAAACGCAAGCAAAAAAGGAGGATGTAAATTTGAAGCTGAAAAACACTAATTTATCACAATACATTAACGCATCAGAAGATTTCACGATAATGCACTGCTATACAATAATATCGAAGTAAAGCAGCGAAGTGAACTATATAAATATATACTTTCCCACCATAATTTACTTAGTGATTTGCTTGTAAATATGAATATTGTAAAAAAAATGCTTGAAGGATGAAACTTTTTCGATATCTCGAGTATTTTTATGTTGTCAACTCAATTGCTTTTCATTCAATTCAGAAGGATGTATTCCATAACAAGAACCAATTATATTATTTAATTCATTTACTCTTAATTCGGCATCCGAATTAGATTGCGATTACACCATGGTCGAAATTCCATAGAATTTTAGTTTTGGAAGTTCTTCTTTGAACACTTCATGTACCTCTTTCTCTTGTATCCATATAATGAATTATCTCTTTTTTCAAGGTATAGCATAAAGAAAATCAATTAAAACCACTCGAATCTCATTTTATATATCAAAAACGACTACAGCGAAGATCTTATTTAGGAGGAAAAGAGAGGAAAGGAGAACGAGTACGATGCAGTATATAGTTATCTTTATACAGTGATTCTAACTGATAAAATCCATAGTATTTTCATCTTGCGTAGAATATCTATCACAAGTCACGGAACAGGTTGTCCATATTCTATTTCAATCGAAACTGAAAGAAAAATGATTAAAAGTGTTTAGTTGCTGAATTTGTTTTGCATTCGCTTTTTGGTTTTAACCCAAACACTTCGATGATTCGATTTTCTTTATTCGCAATAGATTCGCGTCACTCACAGACAACTTTGACAATAAATTTGTCTGTTCTATGCATACACCAGAACGCCGCAAAAGGTCATTTATGCAGATTGGATCATCAGATTCATTTGGTGATGGTCGATGTATATATTCTCAAGTATATTTAGAGTATCCATCTCTTTTTTCACCTTGTTGGTAAAGGTGGAAGCAAAGTCCGATTGAGCCCAAATTAATAACGAACATAGATCATCTAAAAAGAAAAGAGAAGTATTTTTGTTCGAAATTTTTTAATATGTTCTTCAGTGGGCTTTTTGAAAAACATAGATTTTCACTGGAGTACATTACCACAGATACCTGGTACGATATATTAGACGGGAGTTTTGTTTTTTCGTTTTTCTGCTTAAGATGTAAAAAAGATTGGTAAAAGCTCTAAGTAAACAACCTGAGATTTCGATTTTGAAAACTCTATGGCTCGAAAAGGATAAATCAGGAACGAAAAAGCAAAATTATTATTCTTAAAACCATTCCACGTATCTGTGGTAAAATTTTGAGCGCGATTAGATGAAGTTTCGATAGGGTCCTAACGTACACAGATTGGAACTATCAATGTTCTGAGGATTACGCATGACATTAAACAGTTTGCTTTTTTCAGGGTATTTGCGCTTGTGCTTATATCGTCGCGAAAAACCACTAAAAAATTTTGGAAGTCATCTCATTTATGAAGAGAACATTTTGTTTCAACTGTTTTTTTCCGTATAGAAAAGCCCTTACTACACGCTCAATACTTTTCTCTAACTTTCTCTCAACTAAGCTGAGAATAGATACGTTTGATCGATCTTCAGAAGCGGTCACCGATCTTCAGAAGCGGTCATCTATCTTCACAAGCGGGATCGTTTAAAGAAGGAAAACGATTTTGATATTTAAACTCGACTTGTTTGAACTAAATAAATTTTTGTTTTACAACCGGTTTTTCGTCACAGAAAAGCTCAAACCTTGGAAACTCGAACTGATCCTTGATATGTAGTTTACGAGTCCAAGGCTTGAACTTTTCTGTAACGAAAAAAGCGATGATGTGTTCTACTTGAACAATCAAATGCCTACTATCTATAGAAATAGTAGGATAAATTGTTAGAAACTTCTACAATATTTTCATCTTGAATTTTAATCAGAATTATTTCATTAATGAACACCTATTATTCTTTTGAGTATTCATCCTTATACATCGCTTATACTATTCACAACCATATTGAAATAGCTAACTGTTAAATCTGATCAAGTTCACAGCAGCTTTAAATTTATTGTTCATAATTTATTGAAAATTAATGTACCGTTTCGGTACGTCAAGTATCATTGTCAGACAAAGATTACTAAAGTACGACTACACACACTGTACAAGCGAATAATCTTTAGTACTTTAGTAATCTTTGTCTGATGATGAACTAAATAAAGAATGATGAAAAATTATAGTTAGTGCAAAACGACAATGTCTAATAAATATTTTTACAATGTCCTTACTCACAGTTTGTGCAATCAATATAGTATTAGTAGTAATATATGACGCACTGCTGGCCATTATCGTTTTCGATTGTATTTAAATTGAGGTAGGTTTTATATTTCTAAAAGTGGTCAGAAAAGTCATTTCTAAACCATGATTTGACGTACTTTGAATTGTTTGAATACTTGAATACGCGTTCTATGTCAGGTTTCTGAAGGAAATTGTGATTATGCTAAAACTTCATGTCATCAAATCATAAACTGAGCCATACGAAGAGAATGATGATACCTGAAAGGGATTATATCATTCGACGCTGCCGCGTATGAAGTATGAAGAATTAATTCTGAGTGTGCCATTATGCTCATAGCAATGAGAACATTTGACAGTCTGTCGCTAAACGTGTGTGAAGTACTAGTGATCATTTGTATTCCAGTGTAATTGAACAGTGTTGGTGAGGAAAGATCTGCGTGAAGAAGTGAATAATTGATGTGATTGTTGAAAAAAGACGGAGTTATTCGCTTTGTCTGTGTGCTAGTAACGGTAATTATACGACTGCTGCGAAACGTTGTTTCATTGCTCATTCTGAAAAAGTGTTCTGATACACATAAACTTACGTTTTGTACATGATACTATCCATAGTTAATGCTGTGGACGTAGAAAAGTTTATGAGCATCGAACGATGAAAGCCTCTTTTGGACCACTGGAAGGTATAAAAATAGTTAACTTTCATATCACATCTGCAAGGACATTTTTTACTTCTCGCTCGAAAATCAAATACTTATGCTGTCTCTGATTACGGTTGTAGCGCGCTCTTCTATTTCTCAGGTTTGAGACCGCCATCTGGAATCTTTCTAGATTCTTCGGTTGAATGCAACATACGTCGCAATTGTACAAGTTAAAAATTGTCGTATTTAGTTTACTTGCAAACAGTAGTTTCTTAAGAGCCATTCTCTGCCATATAACGTTATATGAGTATGTCTGCTTTCTTTTTGATTGTTGCGTTGTACCACAAATCAAAAATGTGTGAACTTGTGGTATGGTATAATATAAATGGTTTTATACGCAATATATATATTGTATGGTGTTATACGCATGAAAAACGTTATGTTAGCTACTTTTTACATTAATGCTCGTCAATAACAGCTAGAAGAACGGTTTATGGTTGGAACATTTAGCTTAGATAAAAATATGTGCAGAAGGTCAATATGGTTGCCAGAAAGAGGAAAATTGTATAGATTCTAAAAGATTGTTATTGTAGAATTTAAGTATATTTAAAATTACTTAGTTTTATAAAAAAAAAAAACATTAAAAAGTCAAAGAATGTCAATATGGTAGAATTTACTACAATTATCGTCTCTTCTATCTTTTCTATGGGAATCTTATTCAAAACTGAAAAAGTGCAGTACATGAAAAACAAATAATTTCAGCTGAAACTTAAACTTGTAATAATGACTGTCCTCTTTTTATTCCGTTTAAGAAGCAAAGCTTTGTTTTCATTTTGTTGCATCTCTATTTACAATATTAAAACAGTTTTATTTTTAACATGAAAACGAGACATTAGTCCTTAGTGTTCTTCTCTCAATGCATATTTAGAATTTTTTGATATTTTTTGTAATTCGTCTGACTGTGTTTCCACTAATCTGTGTTTATTTTAGATTATGTTCAACGTCATATCTGTGTGTCTTTAATTTAATTAAATTTGAATTCAATTTTAAATTCAGCACGATAGAAGAAAAACATCATTACGACTTGTTTGAATGTTTTCTTTGTATTCTATCTTATTTAGATCTTTGCCAAAAAGAATTGTTTGTTGTCACGGACATATCAACTCTAGAGAGCTTGTCTTATTATTTATTGTACAACTTACACTAAGTAATTATTGTTAACATGGCTTTTAATTCATTTTAGATTTGTATAGTTGTAGTAATTTTTCTCATATTTTTTGTGCTGTCAACTCTCTTCAGTTTTTTTTCATTGAGTGAACATAAATCAGTAGCATTTTGCATTTAGTCTTTTGTTGTTGTTTTTTATTTTCATTTTCTACTGTATCTTTTTTTGTATTACTATCGTTGTTTGTTATATATATGAATTCTATCCAAGTATCAAACGGTTAGTGAATGTTTATTTCTTATTAATAAAATTACTCTTATATTGTTGTTTAATTTAGATCCATCACATATGTCTTCTTTGCCATCGGACGAAATCAAATCACAACGAGAATTGGGTGTCATTGAAAAATTATGTGCGACATATGGTTTTGTTTATTGTTGTCATCGAGATGGACGATACTTCTTCCATTTCAGTGAATATAAAAATGATATTCAACAAGCAAAAATTGGAGGTAAGAATTTAAAAAAAACTAGAGAAAAATTCCCATCAGTACTATTCTAGAACCGCAGCTCGTGACATCGATATTTTAATATGAAGAAAACTATGACTGTTTTTGATATAAGTTTTATTCTTTCAAATTATAAGCGACAAAAATTCTGTTATGGTGTTCTAAACAACAACTATCGAAAAATACAAAATCAGTTTTTGTACGAACAGGAATTCAAACACACGAACTTAAATTAACTGTTCTGTATCCATATTTTGATAGTTCCATCGATACCTCGATATCTTTAGAAGTTATTTTTTTCATTCTTTATGATCTGAACAGTTGTCATACATCTATAGGAGAGGAAGAGTTCTGCGGCAAATGAATACAAACCACATACATTGACATTAGCTAGTTTGATTAGTTTGTTTTGTAAAACGAGTCATTTTTTGTATTTAAATATTTGTAAAACGTTCAGTTCATCTAGAGTATCAGTTTAGGTGGAAAGAAAAAGCCGACATTTGACAGATGATGATTGCTAGAAAGTAGAAGGGTTCATCTGCGTAAGTTAAAAAATAAACAACGCAATAGACTGTCTACCGACGCTACCCTTGCATTGTATGTGTAGTCATTACAAGCAATCGAATAATCTCAGATCTAAGTTAGTTTTTACAAGTAAATTTTACATACACATGATTTCAATCTCTGAACCTCTCAAAACATAATTAAACAGAATAAGTTACTTCATATTACTCTCAAATGGTCACATGATGATGAATGATTATTAATATTATGTACTTGGCGCTAAAGAAAATTGATAAATGCATAAAAAGTAAAAGCTCTTTTTCTCCTCCTTGGATAAGTTTAAGTATTTTCAGACAGAATTTGTTCGATCTTTTCAGCACTGCGTAAAAGTTACGTTCCGTCATAAAATGATCAGACAGAGTAAAAAAACTGTCTCTTTTCAACTCATTTGTATTCCCGTGGAAAGTTTGTTTGTTTTTTAAAACTAGACACGTTTTTAATGGCTTTTCTTTATTATTCGAATTGTAGATGTAATTGAGTTTGAAACAACAATCGATAAAAGAAAAAAGAAACCAGTTGCTGTTAATATTGTCAAATTAGCCAATACAGAAATTGTTGGAGAAAATCGGGTTGAAGGTTTGTTTAAACGTAGCATACATCTTTCGTTTTTTAAAGATCATTTAATTCTAGGAGCGATTGCTATTGTCTCAAAAATATCATCTATAACACCTCATTCAAATGGACGCGTACGTACAATTGTTGCAAAATCTCAATTAAAAATCGAATAAACATTATTATTGTTTGTTTTCTAGGCTTATGATAATACATTCTCTATACCACCTGATGGTCATATTACATACGTGAAAAAAGGCGAAACATTCTATATTCCGTACGGTTTAAATGATCTACAAGATCCAAATTTAGTACTGAAAGTTGGAGATAAAGTAAATGTTTTGTAATATTGAATTTTTTTTTTCATTCTGATTGTGGAATTATCTGTCTTTGTTGACGCTATTCTTACTTTAGGTTTCGTTCAACGTTGCACAAGATCGTCGAACTAATCAGTTTTTTGCACGAAACGTTAGTCTTGTTGAAAGTGTAGTACCAAAAAAATATCGTGGTGTGGTATCAACAATGAAAGATTCGTTTGGTTTTATTGAACGAGAAGATGCAGTGAAAGAAACATTCTTTCACATATCAGAAGTGAGTGAAAATGGCAATATGATACATCCGGGTGCTGAAGTTGAATTTGAAATACAAGATAGACACGTACGTCTGTTTGTTTATATATAACAATCTTCCGTCGTTTAATTTTATTCGTATCGCTGTTTAGAACAAAGAAGTTGCCAGTAATATTGTTCTATTACCGGAAGGGTCAGTTGTATTTGATGATATAGATCAATCATTTCACATTGGCCGCGTTACTGAACCACTTACAAAGCCGAAAAAAGCTAATGAATTATTAACTGGACGAATTCTATACGACAATATCGATACGTCTGTGATGTGTTTAATCTAAATATTGTGAATTTTAACTTTTCTATATTTTCCTTTAGAAAACTCGTCGAATTATCCTTTGGTGAACGTGACCGTGTTGGTATGTTGATGATTCAACTTAAAGAAGCAGTTTTCATTTCTGTTTATTTTTTCAAATAGGTCAGTATACATTACTGGAGAATGATATTGTTCAATTTCATATTGCCACAGACAAACGAGATGGAGTGAAGCGTGCGACACAAATACAGTTGCTTGATCAAAGTTTTCTAAAATCGAAAGAACGACGAGAAACTGTGAGTGAACATGCGCAATGCTCTGATAGAGCAACTTGTATCTTTAATCATTCTCATCTGGATCTTAATGCTTTAAGGGAATTGTAACAAAACTTGTACAGAAAACTGGTGGAGTTATAAAATGTACAAATCGTGATGAAACAGTGACATTTCGATTTAGTGAAGTGATGAAGGACAGTTTTCAAATTGCTGAAGGCGATTTACTGGAATTTACCGTTGTGCCATCGGTATATAGCCAAATTCATCATCCTTACTTATCAGGTTCGAATGAGTTTTTTTTTCTAGTTTTCCAATGGTAGTAGTTCAGCCATTCGAATTAAATTACACACGAAAGAACCATTAAAAAATGACACTACATCGGAATTAAATTTTGTTGGTGTTGTCGAAAAAGATGCTGGAGATTTCAAACCAATGGTGTCATCGGGTAAGCCGCCACCGCACTTTTATTCAAGTCTAATTAAAATACCGCTGTGTACTTTAGAAAGAAATGGTCGTACTACACAAGATGTAATGACACCAGCAACGCCAATTTCTACCTCATTACCATCGATGCCACTCGTTAATGGTGACGCCTCATCGTCGAGACAACAAGAACCCGGTATTATTTCATATGAACAGAATGGGAAACAATGTACGATGCAATTCATAACATCTGGTATTAGTAATACAACCGCTTTATATTGTGGAGATAAGGTAATATTTAAATACACTTAACAACATTTCACCTTCAAGGTCTTTTTTCTCTGTTAGGTCGAATTTAGTGTCAGTAATAATGCGTCATCGAAACAGTCACTTGCATTCAATATTAGACTAATCGAAAGAAATCGTATTCGTGGATGGATAGCAATATTTCGCGAAAACCGAGGATTCATTGAACAAAATGGTGATGCAAACTCAGTCTTATTTTCATCTAGGTAAAGCGTTAGCTCGACTATTAGTTAAACTACAATCGGAATATTTTGGTTTTATTTATAGTTCTATTGCTGGTGATCCAACTCAACTGGATTTAGGAGATGAAGTCGAATTTAGTCTAAGAAAGTCTACTGGGCGTTTAACCGCAGAAAATATTATCAAAGTTGCACTAACAGTCAATAGTTTTTATGTAAGTTTCGTATTTTATTTCCTTTATTTCATTTTAAGTTCTGTACATTATTGCTTTTTTGTAGTCGACACTTCCAACAACTTATCATGGTCGTGTTGTATCACCTGTGCGAATGCTTAATAATGAAGAATGTGAAGTACTCGGTAAAATTCAAAAAGTAACAGATGGTACGTATGAATTTTCTTTATTTGGAGATTTACCACTGACTCAGTTGTGTCATAACAGTATAAAATCATGCATAGATTTTAATTTTGACATGCTAAAAGTGTTTTAGACTCCTTGTAAAGCTTTAATTGAGAAACCTCTTGAAGTTGATAGTTTTTCGCTATTTATGTGCAAGTAATACGAGACATGTGGCAACGCTCTAACCGTGTGATAAAATATCCGCTTTCATAGAAGGTACTCGACTTATATAATTCATAAGTCACGAAAAGAAACTTTAATATATATATTAATTTTTGTAGCTAACCAGTACACAGTTTTCAATTTCGAATTAATGTTGATATTTTTTAAAAATTTGTTAAACAAAAAATCTTATTTAATTAAGAGTTACCACACTGGCATTCTTCGGTTAACAGAATATACTTTTTGACAAAGCGGTGGATTTTTCTTGAATTATCATGAAATTAAGTTTATGAAGAGTTATTATTTCTCTTTAGATGGCATACCAGGTGAATGTTACACATACAGTATAACTGGTGTTAAAAATAAACGAGTCGTATTGCTTCCAAATGACCCGGTGACATTTTTAATTGGCGTTGGGCTTGATTACAGTACAAGAGCGGTTAACATTATTCTCGAGAATGAATTACGAAAAGGAAAAGTTGATACAGTTAAAGGACAGGTAAAGACGATAAAAATATTTTCACATGTAAATTTTTTTTACTCAAATTTAGGACGAGCTAGTTTAATCCTCATACATTATGTTCATCCTGTCTATAAAATATGTGTTTGTTTTTAGTATGGATTTATTGATTTTGCTATTGAAGAAAACAAGAAAATATTTTTCCATAACTCTGAAGTTGACGGTGGTTTTGAATTACGTCCAGGCGATGATGTTGAATTTATTGCATATTACAATCAAAAAAGTGGCAAACCATGTGCTAGCAAATTAAGACGGTTAAAGTAAGTTCACCTCTTGCAAAATTCTCTATAGTTGAAGATAAAAGAATGGTACATGGTTTTTGAAACAGGATATAAGGTGTTTGTTATGTGTATGTTTTAGCAATCTTCAGCGACCTGAACGATTAATGACAAGATTAAAAACAATGAATATCGATGAAACTAAAGGAAAACGACTGATTATTGTTAGACAACCACGTAATGCAGACGAAAAATCAAAAGGTTTTACAACAGCTAGAGTTGAACGAAAACCAGGCATGTTATTGCAAGCTTAATCATGATGAAATTAAGTTAGATGTAACAGACTATTTTTTCCATTTTTGGTGCTAGATAGATAAACGACTATCACCAATAAATTTCTCTTTCTTTCATTATACATAGTCCTAACTCTCTTTTTTTGTTTGTATGAGTCATTCTTTTATTGTTATTATTGTTTTCTTTTTGATGAGCAATAAGTTGACTTTCCTTCGCTTTTTCTGTTTTTCTCTCATTCAAATGTTATTTTTGTTTTTCATGAAAAAAACAAAACAGACATTAAAATACTGTTGGAATCTCAGTGCTTCTGAGCAGAAATAAGGTTTAAGGTTTCAAACAATCTCTTCTCCTCTTGATAGAAGACGAAACTTACTGTGATAAAATTCATCGTTCTTTGAGAATTATTACAATCAACGTTCTCCTTTATCCTACACTCTGCTTCTCAAACAGGCACTCAGAGGTTTTAGTTTTATAAATACCTCGTAAGAAATCTAACTATGTTCGATTTTTTGTTATGATTGTTAACAATCATCGTTCATTCACTACAATAAAAATTTGACAAAAATATATTTATATCGAATACTATAAAAAATTATTTGGCACTATGTTTGAAACATTCTTGCTTTAGCAGAGACGTTATAGTTTAGCTAAATTTACGACCTGTAGTGTTTTAATCGCCATTTCGAGAGTGCAAATACTTTTTTCAAGCAGACCTGCAATAAGAAGGCACTTTGAAGATAAGTCTTTGTTTCTCTTTTCATTGATTTATTGTCTTTCTAATGCAATAATATTTGTTTTTTACTTGTCTTTATTTTCATTCATTAGTACACATCCACATTTGTCACTTTGTTCTTACTTATGCGATAACCGACGTCTACATTTCGCTTTCTTTTTTGTTTAACATCACATAATAAACCAACAAATATCTAAAATGCCTTTTTTTTTATTGTTTTCTATCCTAATGTGGCCGATTAATGTAACGGACACCTAATGTGTAAACTACTTCCATTTTTGTGTAAAACTCATCTAATTTTTTTGTCCATCAGTCTATTTCTCTATTTTCGGTTCTCGCATCACTACAGTTTTTCGTTTGTTTTTACCAGTATTTATTTCTGTTTCAAAATTGTGTATTGTTCTTGTCTGTTTTGATGTAAAACGTCCACCTACGGTAATCTATAAAAATATGACAAGTTTTTTTTTAACTTAAATGCGAAGGATTTCTGAAATTGGATGAGTCTAAAAAATATGTCTTTCATGTATCCTTCTTGTCTAAATGTGCTTGTTATGTTTTAATGTCAAATGTGATTTTTTTTTTCGATAAGAAAAAGTTAAACAAAAATGCAACATACGAATTTTATGTCTCTGATGGTAGATAAATGGACTCTTTGAGCGAAGAGGTATGCCTTTGAACTAGTACTTGCATTAAGTCATATACACAACTGTTCTAACTCGATAAAATCTTGTAGCAAACTCATACAGTTCGGATAGTACTTTTTAAATTCTAAACATTTAAAACGACATTTTGTGAAACTCCCTCCAAGTCTTCGAAGAAGACAGAGTTTCAGTTATATACTCAAAAACCGGTGTTATCATGGTCTTTTTTGAACCTACTTAAAATCTGATATCACTTTTGGTCACAACCTCTTAAACTGGCGGTCACAACCACTTACGACGGTCATAACCTCTTACGCACCTGTCTGATATCGACCGATATCAGGAAAATGTTTTTTAGGCTGTCACAATCTCTTAAATGGACGGTCACAACCTCCTAAGAGGACGGCTATATTTCTGAAACTATTTTTTCTAAGATCAGTTTTACGTTACAAAGTTTTCCAGTATTTTTGCATCGAGTGGTTTTGTGAAACTGCCTCCAAGGCTTTGAAGAAGACAGAGTTTCAGTTATATACTGGAAAACCGGTGTTATCGCGGGTTTTTTTGAACCTATTTAAAGTTTGAGCGGTCATAACCTTTTAAACTGGCGCTCACAACCACTTACGTCGGTCACAACGTCTTACGTACCTGTCTGATATCGAGTGATATCAGCGGAATGTTTTTTAGGCGGTCACAACTATTTAACGAGTCGCCGGTGCTCATTTTTTTTCTTGCATCCACTATTAGTATCGTCGATGCTCATTTTTCTTTAAACCAATAACAGATAATTCCTTTTTCTAAAATAGCGGCGAGAATAGAAAATAGTATTTTTTTGATGAGATAAAAATGACTAATTTTCATATTTAGTGTTCCGAAATAAAACAGAATAGTAGCAACTCGTCTCTAAGCAATTTTTATTGACCTACCTTGATCAGTATAAGGAGTTTCATCTTTTGGTACCGAAGGTACCACCCTGACAAGGTTTATGTATTATGATTGATAAATATGGGATAAAAGTTAGTAGCAATAGTGATGCTTTTGACTGAATTTTCTTTATAATACCATAGCATACTTATTTTATTTTTAGTTTCTGTTACCTATTATTCTATTATGCTTTCTTCTTTACGACGTCTTGTTAATACCAAGTATCTAACGCCTGTTCGTTTGTCATCATTATCACAAACACCACAAAAATCTGAGAATGACGTTAAACTTTATATATTAGAATATCATTACGTGAAGGATGCTACGGAAAAACGTCAGCCATATCGAGAAGAACATTTGAAGTTAGCATCGAAATTAGCAAAAGCAAATAAAATTATTTTAGCTGGTGCAACGGAACAGCCTCCTACCGGTGGAGTACTTATTTGGCGTAATACGTCTGTCGAAGAAATCACTGAATTTGTTAGAAAAGATCCATATGTACAGAATGGTGTTGTCACAAAATGGACAATAAAACCCTTTTTAGCAGTCGTCGGAGCAAAAGAATTCTCAAACGATTTATTAAAAGTTTAAAAACTATTTGTAAATACAATGTTTCGAACATTTTTTCTAACCCCCATAATAAATCAGTGATTATAATGTTCTCCAGAGCTTACATACGTTTGACACAGGAAATGGCTTCATTTTTTCCCTCAGTCTGGCTTGAAACAAAAACTCGTAGACATACAGAATAGGTGATTCTGGACGTTTTATTAAAAATGTTGAAGAGTGATCTAGGTTTGAATTTAGAATTAAATTTTATTGATCAGGCCAAAATGATCTAAAAACATAAAAAAAAGACTTTTTTCTTCGAAACGAAACGTCTCTAAACTGCAGAGGTGGCGATACGAGGAAGAACAGCTAGGTGTCAAAATTTAATAGGAGAAAAACATCGCTTTCAGGTCGTTGTTACTACAAAAAAGCAGCATCTTCTTTTAGAAGTTGCTTTTAGATAGTCTATTTGATGCAATCTTCAATTAAATATCATGAAATGTGTCAAAATGCTCCTATATACTCGATTCTATGAAATATTTAAGTAGATGGGTATCTCGCCAAGTACTCGCGGTGCTTATAGGTTGTTCATTTCAAATTTATTTAATCATGCCCGTGTCATTTATGTAGACGCTTCAAAAAAATATACTGAACGTTTATCAAATGTACAATATCAAGCAGCTTTAGCAGTTACTGGAGATATCCAGAGAACTAGGATCGGGAATGTTCTTAGAGATTAGTGTTGGCTTTTAGTACCTTAGTTGTCCCAGCTAAGATGTCTGTGTTTATTTCAGAAAACCATTCATCGTACAGCCCTCTCGTCCCTCTGTGACCTCATATCGCTAGCTCAGATAAGATATAAAACTCGTAATCGTAACCGAACATTTAAAAAAGGATTAAGTATTCTCAACACGTCTTTATTAGAGTAACTTTAGACCTTTGGAACTCTCTACCACTTAGTCTTTCTTTCGTCATTAGTCCAAAAGTTTTTAAAACCAAGTTGCTGTCGACCATTTATAAGCGAGACAGGTATTAGATCTTGGCCTAATAGGCTTTGAACCAACTGAACTAAACCTTCGCTTGCAGCAAAGCCAGATAGCTTAGCTCCATAGGTCTCCTCCTAGGTCTAGTAGGGCACCCACAGTGTGCATTTTTCCATAGGCCAGGCGGACATTTGCTACAGAAGCAGTCCGAAAGTCGATAAACACCTTTTTATAGGTTTTCAGATATGCTCTTTCCAACGGCGTGCTTTACAAAATTCCAAGAGACTTTCATCTGAGTTCTCCAGAGACCGGCTCTCTAGAAAACCCACACATAAGTACTCTGAAACTTTGTAAAGCACGCCGTTGGAAAGAGCATATCTGAAAATCTGTAAAAAAGTGTGTATAGACTTTCGGACTGCTTCTATAGCAAATATCAAAATCCTTAGCCAAAATTGTCACACTATGCTTCGACTCTAGCGTTCCGTTACATCCAACAAGTTTTTGCTTAAAAAAACCTACTAATCGCACATCATTCGATGCAGTTTCTTGCGCTGATTCCGAGTATGTAATTTTTGTTGAATAAAAACGTTTCCGAACCGAGAAAAATGAAAAATATCTGAAAAAATCAGGTTTTTGGGAAAACCCGCTGTCTGCTTCAGAAACATTTGCGCATTTTTGCGCATTCATCATAGATACACAGCATGTTGACGAACATTTTGCCCAAGTTTGGTCCAGCATCGAATTGGGCTGTGGAGGGCGCGCTCATTTTACTGAAAATATCCGTTCGGAAAATCACGTCCAAATTAAAATTTTGTTTTACTAATCTATAGCCGAGACCATGTAGATTTAGAATATATCTCGTTTTTGATTACAACTCCATTGACTGTTATGAAAATTATACTTTTCTCGTCGATACCGCTCTTTTCAAGCTATTTTTTGGTTTTTTGGTTATCTGTTTTCCTATGATCCATAGATTTTGTAACAACAATTTTTATGCCATCGGATAGAGCATCACTTGAAGTATATAAATCACTATTTAAATCATTCGAAAGTCGATTTTCATTTTCGCCCTAATGTCCGCCTGGATGCACACTGTGGCACCATGTCATAGAATGACCACTAAAGTCTCGAATGAAGACAAAAAGCTTATGTCTTAAAGTTGGATTGTTCCGTACTTTCTGAAATACATCAGAAAGGTGATCAGTAAATGTATCCACATGTATTTGCTATTGGGATTTATAACGTGGTCCTAAAAAACGAGACTTTCCAGAAGAAAATCGAATGGTTTTGCATATATTGAGGTTTTGCATTTGTAATAGATCACACTTCGTTAATCCAGCACTTTTGCCTTTATCGACTTCGGCAAAAAATACTATTCGTATTCAAAAAGAGAATTTTACACAATTCAGCCTGATGTTCCTTTATGCCTCTAACTGTGACCATGGTTAAAATAAAGGAGATAACGTCAAGACAGACACCAAGCAGCGCTAAGAACTAACATAAACAAGAAAAAGAAAAAGTTAAGCTATCATACTCTTTTACATATCAGATTTCATTTTCAACACATAGAAAGGCGTCCACGTTGTCTTTTATTTGGCAGCATTTATATTTTCCATCATCCAATTTTACTATAACATCCCTATCGGTCAACGATATACAGATTCTTTTCATTTTATTTCTGGCATATGCTACTATTTTGTATTTAAATATGTACTTTTATTCTGATATTTAATCAACTAAAACAAAATTCTATCCAGAAAAACGGCATACAAATAAATAAATAAATAAATAAATAAATAAATAAATAAATGGGTATCTATCAGAATTCTTTCATTCATGACGATGAAATACAAGACATTTACAGAAACGAAAACGTATATTTAATATAGCAAGAAAACATTCAATTGAGATTACACAGAAAACTAAAAACTATGATCTACGAAGTTTTACAAAAACTTAGTAAATGACATTTACTACCAGAGTTTTCGTAATAACAATAACAAAATATTTTTAAATCGTTTTGATGCGTGAAGAAAAAAGGTGAATTTCTAACTTTTTCTGTTTAGTAAACAAAACGAGTTTTATCTGCGAAAAAAATGACCTGAAAACAAGTATCTAGTCTAAACACATTACATTATTTTATTGCATTGATAGAATAAAAATCATTAGGAAAGTGGTTCAGCGTAAACAATTTGTTTAAGCATGATCGGTTCTATACATTTTTCATTAACAACAACATAGTTAAAAAGACGACAACATGCATAAAAATGGAAATAAATGGCAATAAGAACGGCAACATGTAGTACTTGATGACTTTGTCCTATAATATCAAATTTTCCCGGAAAAAATCGTTCAGGCATACGTGAACCGTACATAACACCTCCAAAAATATACGAAACAGCCATGACACATAGATAAAGAAAACCCATTTGAATCATTCGGTGCATACCATAGATTATGCAGGCATGAATTGTTGGTACAACACCGTAGAGACCAAGAACAATAAACAGAGTAGCTTTAAATGGTCGACAACGTGGTTTCGAACATGCCGCCGAACTTGTGCCAATTACTGATGCTATCGATAACAATAATAATATACCAATATAAATTGCTTTCAACTTTAAATTACAGTAAAAGTAATAATGCAGTACAGGTATCATCGAACCGAATATTAAGATATTTATGCCTGAAATGAAAGAAAACAGATTCTAGAAGAAAGCAATTGAGTACCTCCTGAGCTTGGACTTGGTGTATTCAAGATCTATCATTTTGTTAGCTTAATTAAACTACAAATCGGTATAAAATGATTATTAAAAATACTGTAGGCCTCTTTTACAGATTTCGGTTTGTGAAATGTTTTCTGTGACGTACCGAAATAATCGAGTTTTGAAACAATGACCATAATACGTGGTGAATAATTAAGAAAAATATGCAATAATGTTGAAAAACTTAAACATAATATTGCGGATATAAAAAATGAACTAAAAGTAATGAAATCACTAATATCCATTTGTCGGTTATTATCAAGGAGAAATAAAATAAAGGTGACAGAGATGCATAATGCACCAATTAAATGTGTCCAAATATTGACGGTTTCACTATGAATAGATGCTATAGATATTAAACATTCACGAATAGAATTAGCTGGTGGACGATGTTTTTGAAGTAAAAAATGATTATCACCAAGCCATTCTAAAAGAAAAAGATGAAAATTTACGTTAGACTAAAAGAATCCACTTTTCATGAAAAACGTACCGGGTAAGCCCCAATGTGCCATATAACGTCGTCTTAAGGCAACATCAAGAGATTGCTCGCTTGGTAGTACCGTAATATTTCCATTTCTAACAGTTGGATGATATGGCAATAAATCTTGATCGATTTCCGCAGCATTATGCCAATGAACACGATGTTTTGAATGAATGAATGATAACTGTTCGTCGTTTGAATCGAGTATTTGTTGCATTCTACGTTTTTTATCCGGTTCATTTTCATCTTCTAAACGTTCAATTTCTTGAACGACTTTAACTTTGTCTAGTGGTATTGGCATGTTGTTACAGATAACTAAACAATATATCTCGATTTTGTGAGTCAGACATAAAATATTTATCTAAAGACCAATAAGATGTCAAATAATTATTGGAGCGTTTAAAATAGCAAGTAATGAAGATTATTCTCACAAATTATGTTCGTCTAAACGTTTCGATGCTTTGCATCTTCATCAGTAGACATGATAAATTAAAAAGAGAATAAAAACTTTTTAAAACATCAAACACGAAAAGGAATCCTGTCTAGAAAGTAGAACATAACTATAATGCTTATAATAGCCAGTTTTACGTATTATAAGCATTATAGTTATGTTCTACTTTCTAGACAGGATTCCTTTTCGTGTTTGATGTTTTAAAAAGTTTTTATTCTCTTTTTAATTTATCATGTCTACTGATGAAGATGCAAAGCATCGAAACGTTTAGACGAACATAATTTGTGGGAATAAAATTAAGATTTAAAAGTATTAAAGGTCACAAAATGCAATAGAATCGTACTAATAGCTTATATCAAGAAAGATTAACATGTCTAATCAGCAGTGTATAAAGTGAAAATTTTTTTAATTCACTTTGCTATAAAATCCACTGTAGACAAAGTAAAAACGGTACGAACGTTTTTCAACACCCAATAAATGAGATTTGTTCACTGTCTCAATTATAATTCTATTCCTTGCAGTTTTGCAAAATAGAATCAACTTTGTTTCCTGTCATGTAGACTAAGAATAAGGAGAGTATAGTTTTGTCTCACGATAGCTAGTAAAAAAAACAAAAAAAAACGAGAAAAAAAATACAATAAACGACTGTACATTGTGACAGTTCTTTATATGGATCAAATCAGTAAAGGAGAAAAAATACAAAGTGGGAATTTCTAAAAAAAGAGGAAAAGTTTTCTGATCATTGTGGAAAACAATTTTCAAGGCGAAAACCCATTTTACTCTAGAAAATGAGGTTCTATTCAGTCATTACAGACACTACTGTTCAGTAGACCTTTGATGGAAATTTTGAACAAAGTGGTCTTCTACAATTTGCTAACGCATGTTGTGTATTTTTCCTGCTAAAAACAGAGTACATATTGAATTTCAAAGTGTCGGTGCATTTGTACCACTGCATTTTTTTCATTAAAAAATACTTGGTCAACGTGAATAACTAGATTATATATTGTCTGCAATCTAACCATTTAAAAACAAGAACGAAAGCATTCTTAAACATCACAAAATACTATTCTTCTTCTTTGAATCCTTCCAAAACTCAGAGGATATACTTTTTTTTCAGAGTGTATTGCATATATTCTGACATTATAGACAAAGCGTAGTTTTTAGTTTAGTTCGCGTGTTGGTTCCATAGCGTGACATACATTTACATTATCATTATAAACGCTGATATGAAGGAACGGAAACCACGATTTACGTCTGAACTAGGATCAGCTGTCGTGAAAGTTAGGATTGGTTAAAAATAAATTCAATTATTAACAGCAGAGGGCGCTAAGGATAAATAACGTATAATGCTGGAAAGGTCTCCGTTTATGATTCTTCAAGATTTATAACTCAAACTAGAAAGTAGAGTTACTGATACGATACTGTCTTGGGTAAGGACGAGGCCCATTACATATCAACGAACTCAAAGATGGTCGCCTCGACGAGTGAAAGCTTTTGAATTACTCCTGCCAACAAAGTAAAAGTTATCTGTGAAACGAAATTATCAATTTCATATGTTATAACGAAGAAATACTAATACACTCATCAAAATATTGATAGTGGTTAGATGATTTTGAGAAGACCATTATTGTTTTCAACGATTATAGTTTAAAAAAATGAACAAGTAAAATTTAGGTTTTTCGCATAGTTGCATTTTCGAAAATGTTTGATTTCTTGTCTCTTGTTAACGTCCCTTCTACTACATCTTTTGGAATACAGGTACTCTTTTATTAAGATGAACATTTGTTTGCATTTGGCCATTATTGCTTTAGTTGACCTTTTACCCATCATATTATTTCTCATAATTATGCGCCAACCTTGTTATTTAGTTCGAATGGTATTCCATCTCTTGTAAATGGTATTTTCTTCATTTTTCTATGCATCTATCATCGACAGGAATAACCTTCAATCGATTATTTGTTTTTCTTCTCTGTCTTCGTTCAAAACAGCGTTATGAAAATATCTTTCATAGTAACTTTTAGCCATGTTCTTAGTCAAACTCTGTCGGTGTTACTTTTCTTTTCTCTTTTTATTCGTTTTATTTCCATTTGCTCTCTTCTACTTTCGCTATATTGGTTCGCTGTTTCTCTAGTTTTCTTATTTTGTTTACTAATTAATTATAGCTTCAACTTTTACTATTTGGTCATTGTTTTTATAGGTCGGGAATCGTTGGTGACTCTCACTTTTCATGAATAAATGTAACTTAACTTGATATATTTACTCAATTCTAATTGTTTGTCTTGTTTTTGAACTTCATTTGATCTTTGATATTGTTTAAAATAAGAGTGTAAAACAGTCTATTTCTTTCTAATACCTTTAACTATACGTGTTCAATAATTGGAGATAATCTCTTTCGAATTTGTTATCTAAAATTCAATGCATCAACAAGCGTCATCCGATTGTTCTTATCTTTCTAAAAAGGTTTTTTGAGAATCTAGCATGCACAAACGATATATTGTTAATATTGAATAATTGCTCTTTAACTAATTTTGAATAAACTATTCGGTAAATGATTTTTATTCTCAAAGCGGTAGGTTTTCATGTAATTATTCGTACATAGAGATTCGGAGAGATCGAACATCAGCAATTGTTGTCTGATTAGTATTGAATAATCAGCATAAACACATGCTAACGAAGATATATAAGACGCATATAGTTCGTTTAATTTTGTCATATTTACTATAAATGCGAAATCAATGCATTTTACATGGCATACATCATCATTGTTGTTATTATTATTTTTTTCATATCATTCATTTTACACACACACGTACACCTATACAATATTGTTCAATTCAAATCCAAGAAAATAAGATTCAAATATTTGTTAAATGTATGCTCAGAAAACTTTTTCATATTTTTGAACTTAATCTGATGCAAATGTTTTATACAGAATGAAAGATGTTAACAGTTGATAAAATTGTCGTAAATGCTCATTTATTAATCAACATCCTTGTACAAAAGAATAGTTAATGTCAGTAGAAGCCAGATGGAATGTATCTTTCCTTACTGATCGAATTTTTTTGTTATATAGTGAATTTCTAACTAGTATCTGCTCTTTTTTGAACAAGTCTCTTCTATTTTTTGCAAATCCTTGGATAAGTATAGTGGAATATTCTAAGGAATTAAATATCTAGGTTAACAATTCGATATAGGAGTGAAAAATTGACTTTGTTGAAAGATTGACACACCTTCGTTTAAGATTATTTTGCGAATTAAAAGTTGGTCAACAAGTTACTGAATCTATCTATACATGTTTTTCTTTCTTTTCTTCATTTACTCTTATTTTTTCAACGATCGTATGTTTTTAAGCAAATTTTCATATATTATAGTTTTATTTTTATTTCATTGAAGGACATATAAACCCTATATAATCACGAAGAAATTATTTTTGTTGTTTTTATTTATTCGTGTACGCATATATTTCCTTTATAGAAAGAAAAACTAGTAGATCTAACTGTTGTAATGTGTGTCTTTTTTTGCCAACATTATTTTCCAAAATATCGATATAAAACCATATGAGTATAGAACAGAAACAGGAAACAATTTTCTATAATTATCTCGATTGACAGTTTAGTCGATGGTGTTGTTTATACAATATTAATAAACTTCTTTACGAACGGCAGAGTTGAAATATGATACGATTTCTTTGATTGCTTATCACTCATAATAGAAGTTGGACATACTTAAAAAGAAAAACACTCATAAATCATCTAAAGAATCTTTTGCATACCATTAAACAAAATTTTCAAAAAAGTCGATCTCTTACTAGAAAATTGTAGCGATCGTCCTCTGATTTATTAGAACTATAAAATCATGAGCTTCTAAATTTTATCACATATATATGAAGGATATTATCGTAGAAATATCAGAAGATGTTCTTCCTTTTGAATAGATAAAATGTAGAATACTAAATTCTTTTTTTTTATAGATATTTTAGTGTAAAATTTTTATCCATGTAGAAATTTAGAGTGGTTATCCTGATTTATACGTTTAACATATAAGCCTCTTTTATGCCATTAATAAGGTACGTATTGTTGTATATGCTTTTTTGTTAGTTTTTGCACTTAATGCTTTATAATTAGAAAAATATTTTTATTTGGGGACCACCATTCGAGATGATAAGTCTGCACTGTTTTAGGCAGTTAAATATGTTCAATATCAGAAAACTTAACCAGCACAACTACTGATAATTATTAGTCTAAATAACCTTATTAAAGTTTTATATTACAAACTTTTAGTTTTATGTAATCAACTTTTTGCTAATGGAACACGATCTGTAAAGGAGGAGGAGGAAAAGGGGAGAGGAGATCAATTTTCATTTCTCAATATTTTCGAGTTTATTTTTACATTAACATTTATATGATGGGAAGTCTTGAACATGTTTTCTCCTTCGAAAATTTCAAGATTCGAAGTTTCATTGTTTAGTTCCTCGGAGTAAGCCCTAAGTAATCAATTTCAACTTTTCTTGGCAGTGTATAATGAAAACGTATTCACAAAAGTTTTCAGTATATACTGCCGAGAAAAGTTGAAACTGATTTCTCAGGACTTACCCCGAAAAACAAAATAATCAAATGTTGGAATCAACAATAGGTTCGGGGTGCTGCACGTCTATGGTAACTACTTGTAGCTATGAATATGGCAGAGGTACAGAATTTGCGAAAACTTGGGAACGAGCTCAAAAATCGGGATCATGGGTATACATGAAAGTCCTGAGAAAAGTAAGAAAAGAAATGAATAACGAGTAAATCCCTGTCATATGGTATTATCATCCTTTTTACAAAATCATTGTTCTTATTTTATTACAATTCTTTGGTTAAAAAATAAAAAAGTGAAAAATATTTGTCCTATTGTTTGTCAAAGGGTTAACAATTAAATCAATCAAATTTCAACAATTAAATCATTCATTTTCAGAATTGACGCATGGTTTCAACGACTAAGTCAAACACTGAATAAGGATCGAGCAGATTCCAAAGATGAACAACGTTATGCTGCTCGAAAAATTACACAACATTTTTATGCTGGTTAGTTTAAGTTTAATTCATTTCATTTTTTTCATCATAATTCCATCAAATTTTTTTTATATTTTAGAAAAACCAACGTTCGAATTAGTTGAAAAATACTCAAATGTTATTGCTGAATTACTTTTGTCTTTACCGACATCCATTCAACATGATGAGGTTGACTTTTTATCTCAGATATTATCGATTATTAAAGATATACTCGAATGTGATAAAAGTAAGTCAGATTTTTGATATTTCTCTGATCAACTAATTTTGTAATGTGTTTAAAATCTATTTCAGAAACGCGTCGACCATTAGTAAAAGAATTGCTGAAAAATGATGCATGTAGCTTTTTACTTCATATAATACGCTCAGTATCTGATGATCGATATTTTGGACCTGATATTTCCATAACGATTCATTATATATTATCAACAATTGGACGCCATGGTAAGCCAAGAGATGAATTCCAGAGACAACATTAGATATATAAGAATTATTGATATTTATAGAAATGCCTTCTCATTTTAGATAAACGTCTTGCTCTAAAAGCTCGATTATTCAAGACTATTGGATGTACAATTGCTTTGTTAAGAGTTTACTGTTATAACATGAAAATATGTCCAATTTTATTATCATTACTAAAAATTTATTCAAAAAATGGTATATAAAATAAGTGCTATGTTGAATACACTGATATTGTGAATTTGTTTTCAGCAACAACGGCTGCCACAATTTGTCGATCCGGAGGACTACAACCGTTATTACGACTTGCTTTAACGTTAGATCGTCGATATATAAAATTACAAAAGATGGCAATTACCGTTGTACGAATATTAACGCAGACAAGTATGTACTAACAACACTATGTTTCTCTATAAGCTTAATATTTTATTTATATATATTTTTTTTTTTGCTAGAACGAGTGGCCGCACGAGTAACATCAACGACAATTGTTCGCGATATACTCGCTGTGGTGTTTCTAATGGATAAAGGTCAAAGTAGAATTCGGACAATTAAAACTAAAGAATGTTTGTTGAAAGTAATGTTTAATTTGGTCAAATCAAGTATGTTGTTGCATTTTAATATTTTTTATTTGATTTCATTGATTGAATATTTATTTATTACATTAAGAAAATGGACGTTTACAATTCTTAGAAGCCAATGGCTTTTATTTGTTATATGAATTGACGATGAACGTTTTAACCAACGACAATTATTGTACATTCTTAGATTTGGCATGTCAAGTGATGTTACGTTGTTGTCCCAAACAAAATCTTCCAATTGAATCGACGTTTAGTCCCATTAAATATCAATTACCACCCGGATTTGAATATATCGTTTTCAATGAAATGTTAATTGCAGATCCAAAAGTAATGAAAGATTTAGATGATATGAGAGGAAAATGTAAATCAGCATTGTCCAGCAATGAACAACAGCAACAACAACAAAAATTTCGACCAAAATCTTCTATGACACTTTCCACGCCGGCAACACCTCCAGTAAAATCATTACGTCCAAAATCTTCAAAAGGACGCTTGAAACAAGACGAAGTGATAAAAATTCCAGAAGACGATTTAAATGATATGGATGAAGATGATGAGTTTTGTGAAAGCGATGATGATGAACAAAGCGATGATGAAAATAAGAATAATGATGAAGATAGCGGAGATGACGAAGAACGAGAACAAAAAGAAGATTTATCAGAACTAAAAGAAACATTAAGCTCTTCTACTTTAAACAATAATGACACAAATAGGGTAAAAATTAATATAGAGTAATTTAGTTCAACACTACGACTACACACGTTAATGTTATCATTTTCTCTAGCGTGATCCAGATGAATTAGCAATGTGTTATGAACAGTTTTTTGATGAGATGGTGGATCCTATTTCTAAAGTAAACTTCATCAATCGAAACTATTCATATAGGCTATTTAGAATATTTATATTATTAGCTTCGTACAAAAATGGCACAACCAATTATTGATTCACGTACAAATATATTATTATTGAATTTAATTCAAACAAATCAAATGGAAGAGTTACCGAGAGAAGTTCATCAAGATTATGTATTGCGTTCATCAAATCATCAACAAATACCGATAATAGAAGACGAATTAACACAAAAGTATTTTTTAACCTATTCATTACTCGCTAAAATGACAAAAAGTGCATATCGGTATATACATTCTTAAAATTATTATTTATTTTTAAATAAGTTTTGTTGTTGTCTTTTTGTCGGTTAGTTTTACAAAAATTGCACATCCTGACTGTTATGGTGCACAATCAAATCCAAAATGTGAAATAATGCAAAAATTGGATGTCAAAGGGACTAAGTACGAAATGATGGTTTATTATTCATGAACAGCTATTTATTCTTTCTTTATTTAGAACATCTTTGTTAGGTGATATAAGACGAATATTATATTCTCCAACGATAATAAATCGAACAGTTTATGATTTGGATGCATTATTAGTCAACAGTAGCAATACACAAATGTCACAAACCAATATATTACAAAATGATGATAAACGACAGTAAAATATAAGCTGAATATAATGAAAAATTCAATTATACAATCAACATGTTGTTTTTTAGATGTCAAATGCCGAGAACGAGTGATCACTTACATTTTGATTCACAATTTGAATGTGGAAATTTAAGAAAAGCCATACAAGTAAAGTTTCACTCATTAAATAAATGATATAACTATTATCGACGCCAAAACAACAGCTTCCTTGACTATTTTTTGAATAATTTCTAATAGAAAAGTGATAGCGATCTGCGATTTTCAGATTCTGAAAATAGACACTTTCTCACAACTTTCACTAAGTAAAAAGTAGTTTTGAAATCCTTCGGAAGATCCTGTTTTCCGACAATTTTTGGAAAAAAACGTTGTGGTTTCTGAAATTAAAATAGCAATCTATCGATTTTCTTCGATAGATAAGTAGTCTGAAGTGCCTTCTTCAAATCCAGATCTAAGCAAACCCCGGATTTCCCTTAGTTTTCCAAGGAGGCTAAGTTTTTTCGAACAAGCGGTATCCTTAATTCTTTGCGGTTTGAAGACCCCCCAAAAAAAGGTCGAAATATAGGCAATCGACTGTTCTGAACATCGTGGCGTTTTTAATTTTACATAAACAAGAGTTTTCAGTGTGTTTGCGACACTAAAATTCTTTATTTGAGCTCTGTATTGCATAGAATAGCTTTTGGCGCTTAGCTAATCTATATAACTTATCTGCACTGATACACCCTCGAAACTATGTTTTTCTGTAGGTGAAGATTGATACTAAAGTTGAAAATTCTTTTTTTGTGTAAAATTAAAAACGCCACGATGTTCAGGACAGTCGATTGCCTATATTTCGATCTTTTTTTGGGGGTCTTCAAACCGCAAAAAAATTAAGGATACCGCTTGTTCGGAAAAACTTAGCCTCCTTGGAAAACTAAGGGAAATCCGGAGTTTGCTTAGATCTAGATTTAAAGAAGACACTTCAGACTACTTATCTATCGAAGAAAATCGATAGATTGCTATTTTAATTTCAGAAACCACAACGTTGTTTTCCAAAAATTGTCGGAAAACAGGATCTTCCAAAGAATTTCAAAACTAGTTTGTACTTAGTGAAAGTTGTGAGAAAGTGTCTATTTTCAGAATCTGAAAATCGCAGATCGCTATCGCTTTTCTATTAGAAATTATTCAAAAAATAGTCAAGGAAGTTGTTGTTTTGGCGTCGATAATAGTTACTAGAAATATATTAATTCATCTTTCTATAGATCACTGACGACGAATATGATTTAATATTGCGTCCAGATATCAATACGGTAATATTTTTTCTTATATTATATCATCTAATTATTAATTTTTTCTATTTATTCTTTTCTAGTTTCATAATCATCAATGGTTCTATTTTGAAGTGTCAAATATGAGAAAAGATGCAACATATCGATTTAATATAATTAACTTTGAAAAATCAAATAGTCAATTTAACTCTGGTATCTATATCATTATCTATTTATTATAATTAAAAATTCTATATAAATTATAATTATTATTTATTATTAGGAATGCAACCGGTAATGTACTCTGTTCGTGAAGCTTTAGAAAATCGTCCCTATTGGAAAAGAGTAGGAGATCGAATATCATACTACAAAAATACATATGGAAAAAAGAAAAAAATTTGTTATACGTTAACAATGTTAATTAAATTTCAATATGAAAATGATGTTTGTTATATTGCTTATCATTATCCTTATACATATACTACACTAATGGTAAATATCTTTTTCATTAATATACATATAAGAAAAAAAAAAGAAGTTGTCTTCAATCATTTTCATTATAGACAAATCTAGTCAATTGGTCAAATACTTTTGATCGATCAAAAGTTTATTTTCGACAACAAACATTATGTAAAACATTATCAGGAAATGATTGTCCAATATTAACGATAACAAATTTATATAATGCAACAAACAATGGAAATGATAAACAACAACAAATACCTATTCGTATGGTTCATATTAGCCAAGAAATCAAAATTAAACAGAATCTCTAATATTTTATTTCTTTTTTATTAGACGAACGTTCTTATGTTATATTGACATCTCGCGTACATCCTGGTGAATCCAATGCAAGTTGGATAATGAAAGGTAATATTATTTAAAAAAACTTAAAGACAGTTTCTGTTAGACTATATGACAAGTTATTAATTTATTTTAGGTATAACTGATTATTTATTGAGTGACGAAGTGACTGCTCGACAATTACGAGATCGTTTTGTATTCAAAGTATGAAAATTTATCACTTTCTCTCATTTGATTGAATATTTAATGTATACAGTTTATTTACAGATAATTCCAATGCTGAATCCTGACGGTGTTATCAATGGCTGGTAAACAATAACTATAGTTTTAGTTCTTATTACAGTGACTATTTTCCTTATTTCTTAGCCATCGATGTTCTCTAGCAACAAAAGATCTCAATCGACAATGGGTTTCACCAAATGCAACATTATTTCCAACTATTTATCATGCAAAAGGAATTATAGCTTATTTGAATGCGTGTTGTTCTCGACCGATTTCTGTAAACGCAATTACTATTTTCAATCTGTTGTAGAAAAATAAATTGTTATTTTAGCTATTCTGTGACTTTCATGGACATTCCAGACAAAAAAATTTCTTTTTTTATGGAAATGATCCGAGACAACATTACTCTGGACCAGCAGTGGGTCGCTCTACATTACCAAAGGTTGTTCTTTTTTTTTCATATGTAAATTTTAATTATATTTAATCTATCAACTTCTTTTTATTGTTTTAGTTATTTCCAAAACTTTTTCAAGGTACACCGGGATTTTCTCATTCTAACTGCATGTTTACAATGCGTAAAACAAAAGAAGGATGTGCAAGAATTGTTATGTGGGATGAATTTAAAATTGATTTAAGTTATACAATGGAAACAACTTACAATGGTTTCGATCAAGGTATCTATAAGGTAAATAATTGAATTCTAGTATCTATTAGCATATATTCTAACACTTATTAGTTTACTTTTTAGGGATTACAAATTCAAACATCAACACTTCAACTAATTGGTCGAGATTTTTGTACAGTATTATGGAAATTATCTGAGCAAGAAATGAAACCATTTGATGTCACTCCAATCGATGATCTCTTTTTCTTAAGCGAATGTTTCATACAAGATACTTCTACACCACCGACAAAGTCAAAGAGGTACAGCAATCTTCGTTTTAATCAAATCTCACGACACATACTAATTAACCCATAGTTTCATCATCAGAGCGACTACTCTATAATAACGACGTCCGCAAATTTGCCATTATTTTCTGAAATATATATAGAACTTAAAAATCTATCATACAAAAGTGAAGAGTATCAGATACTTTGTACAATGAGAACGTGATCTAATATAATACACATATAAATTCTTCGACAAATTATATAAGAAGAATTAAAGTTCTCTTTTCTAAATTTAGATCGTCTAATGGTCTTCACACAAATTCACAAAAGTCATCGACATTAACAACATGTAGCAAGAGTAGTAGTCGAAGCAGTAGTCGAAGTTCATCATCTAGTTCACTTGATTCCATCAATGAGAGCTAAACTTTTATATTTTTCCGTTTTATTGTCAAAAAATGTGCCTTTAAAATATCTTGCTCAATATAAGGGATGATCACTTAAAACTGATCTCAAATGTATACACACTTTTGTTGATCTAAACAAAATTTCTTTTATTCCATCTTTCTAGTATACAGAGTATAATAAACGTTTTTAATGTTCATCGAACAGCAATTTCATGCACATAGTAGATTGTTATGTAGATAGATTTTTTCAAAAAACACATAATTGTTGTATTCTCTATTTGGTTAAAAAACTAGACAGTTCAGAAGTGTTGTATTTACTTTCTTTCTTTTCATTTTATGTTTTAGAATTACCCTGTGAGACGTTATTTTTTTTCAAAATAAAACAAACGAATTAAAAGTTTTCTCATCGTTCAAGAGAATAAAGATGTTCTTAAAAAGTCTTTCAAAAGCGCGCTCAAATCAAAATAGTAGAGCGAAAGTTTCAGATACATATCGTGTGTATAATAAGAAGTTGTACGTTTACCGATAAAGTTATCGGTATAGAAATGAAACAAATGTTCCAATCGCTAATATTACTTCAAGTTTTGTTTAAAAGTAAAACAAGATGCTGTCTTTTTATATTTTATTCTTCTCCGAAACAGCAATAAAGATCATAGCGTAGCTATGATCTTTATTGATACTAGAAACAGACGTTTTACATCATATGAAATACATTAATCGGAAAATCATTCATCAGATAACATGAACAACGAAAAGTGTAAAAGAAAAAATTACACTTTATGACGCAAACGTTTTTTTTCTATTTTACTAGGTAACAAAGCATTTTTCATATTTTTCTTACAAAAAGCTAATAAATCAAACTATCAGTATAATAACAATATAACAATAGAAAAAAAGAATTTTACATTCACAAAAAACATAGTAGTTGAACAGAAATGGAGAAAAAAATGAGATCATCTAGAGTATGTGGAGACAAAACGTCAGTCATAAGGAGAAATTTTTTTCATATCACAACTAAAAAACAAGTATCATTTATCGGTGATCTAAATTGTTTTATCACACCATACAAAGGTTAAGAAAAATAAATAGCTTTACACAGTGAAAGAATTACTTAATAGAAAATAATAAGGCTGGGAATAATAAGACTCCAGTACTTTTTAATCAACAAACTGTTTTTTCCTAGCAGAACTCTCTTAAAATAATTTGTTTCTGTGATGACGGCACGTATCTCGCACTTTTATCGTATACCGCACGTACGAAAGAATAATTCGGGATCCGCTACTGATAACGCATATAAATTACGCATCAAAACAAAGGTTTATTTACCATGACTTACTTATTGAATGTACTTGATGACGCTGTATATTCACTACGAGTATGCACCTCAAGCACCATAAACGTATTCACTAATATTCTTCTCGACTCTTATGATATATCGATGTTTAATTAACCATTCAATTGTTTCTCTAATCAACTTTCTCAATGTTACAAATATATATTTTTAACATTTCAATTTCTGTTTGTAACTGACGAGGAAACCTCTTCAGATGTCCACCTCCAGTTTCACTGATTCTTTGGCAATAGATGCTATATAGTATCCTAGTAAAAGTCCTTGAAGCATTTGTACTTTTATTGCTTCTTTCAAAAGTTATGAATATTCTTATTTTCCCTGTACAATGAATGCGTTAGGTTAACCCTTTGAGTACCATTGCTCGACCATGATAGCTAGGGACTTCTAATTTTGTGTGATCATAACTCTTACCGAATGCTGATCACCCACCAAGTTTGGGTCTCTTTTCCTAGATGGTTCGTGAGATGTAAGCGTTTCATTTCTTTTTCGTAGAATGCTAATAACTCCTGATCCAAGAGAGGTGAAAGCTTTTCCTTTTTAACAAAATGCAGCACTGCCTTTCCTCTATTTATGTTATGAATTTGAAGTGTTAGCTCTTAATAGTTACTGAAATACAGCTATTTTACGATCGAGGGTCACTTTTGAAGTTTGAAACCCTCTTCCAAAAAAATTCAAAACTCAGCCTAGGAATATTATTTTCATTTCAAAACTGCACCAGATACTCTAAAATGTCTTTAGATTATTCACACAAAGTATGAGAGTTAACTATTGTAGGCTTCGAGATATTCATTGAAAATGAGCACCCACTATTGAAACATACATAGGGGGACAGGGGTGAGGAAGCAAAGGTCATCCATTCTACCATATCTTCTGTGAGTAATGTTCGTCACAATCGTGTAAAAGTATAGTAATAAAAAATTAGGGAGAAAATATCTATAGATAAAATACTGTCAAGAAGACGTCGCAATCAACCTGATTCCCGCTTATTTCATTTATTTTCCGTCTTTTTCACTTCTCATATACTTGCAAGCAAAATTAACAACATACTAGAGATCAGCAGACAAAACTGCATCGTCGCATCTCGATATCTTTTCGCGGTCGCGAGTTATTTAGAATTTATCAAATTTGAAAAAAGTGTGCCTTATCGGACACACTCGTACTTAAAGAGTTATAGTACATATATAGTAAAAAATTCGTAACTTAGCCAAAGCACGGTACGGTACAAAAGGCTGAACATTTTTTCTCTGATAGTGCTAGATGACTATTATAATCATGGAAAATGTCCCCAGGTGATACCCGCCGTTTCTAATAAGTTATACCGCAATCGATAGAGCATATCAAAATAGTAAAAAGTCTAAAGGGATTCGTACCCATGGCTTTTTGTTCAAAAGTTATAGACATTTTTATGACTTTTCCCACTGAAAGGTGTCTAGAATGAAAGCGCATGTGATTTTCTGGTGTTCCAGGCCCCTGGTTTTCCTTCCGACGTCATATCTGTGAGAAAATCGATTAGCTTTGACCAATAGCTTCACGAACCCACTGCGGTGTGTTCTTCGTACTTTTCTCAGAATACAACTAGTTTGAAGGAAATATATATATACCGGAAGGAAATACTTAAATACCATCCGATGCAGCTTTAAACGGCGAAAAAAACTATCTATTGCTCAATTGTTACGTACACTGCGAACACCCACGTTTTTAGAATATTACCGTTGAAAATAACCTTTTCAGCATAGTCCACGATAGTATTCCTATTTTTTCACATGAAAAAATCTAGGTTGCGGTCTACATTATAAATCAAAAGAAAGCTCTTTCAAATTTCTACAAAATGGTTGGTAATTTATTACTATCCAAGCAAAACGACCCCATTTTTTGGGTTATTTATCTAGATTCAGCTCCACGTGGATCTAGATGTACGTGCAGCTGAATCTAGATAAATAATCCGGAAAATTGGGTCGTTTTTGCTTGGGTAGTTGAAAGTGCGAACAATCACTTTTTTAGATATTATAGAAGAGTAATGTTTCGGCATACCGACGGATAATGTTTCTATGTTTTTACCATGAAAGAACTCACGTTGTGGTCTACAATATGTATCAGCAGAAAGCTTTCAGAAGTCTGCAAAGTAGCTAGTAATTCGTTTCTAGTTGAAAGTACGAATAATCACCTTTTCGGATATTACTACTGGAGAGTGGTATTTCGGCATCGACTGATACACTCAATTCATATAAAATCTCTTCTCCACAGTGACCGGTCTGCTCGGCTAAGGTGTTTCTATATGAACGCAAAAAGACGAGAGACTATAGCCTACAGCCTGTAAGAACATGTACAATTAAGTAGAAAAATGTCTTTTTTCTCGAATAAACCATACAGTTTTAACAAATGATATAGAGGGGATTAGATGTTACGCTGCTGACTACTGGCAGAAGTTATTGGCATGAACATTTTTCAAAGACCAGCTACTGATCTAAAAAATATGCAGAATGACCGAAATATGAGGCTATATAAAAAACAAATATATTTTTTTTATCTCAGCAAAAAAATTGTTAGCCATTTTTTCTATCATTCTTTACTGTTTCATTTGATGAAACAATACAGAATAAACGAAATACAACCCAATTACATCAGTGGATACGCCTGGACTAAGCCCAGCCTCTATTCTGTTATGATTTTATTGGTTGCTGTATCGTTTGTCTCATCTGATGTATTCTTAAATACCGTCACACCTAATTCTTTGGTAGAAAGAAAAAAAGAACGCAAGAGAAAAAATTCTCCGTGTATTTTTTTGTGGGTTAATCTTTCGATAAATTTGCGGGAACAAATTGTCGAAAGATTATCTTGAGCCTTTTAGTCATGCGTAAGTGTTAACCTAGAGAAACAAAATTCTATGCCTTTATTCATTAGAATCACTGAGAACATTCCATGATAAAAACATTCACAGAGTTTATCCAATTAAGTGGAAAACTAAACTTTCACGGGCTTTTCGATTATCTGAACCATGCCAAAAACGCCTGTGGTACATGGCGGACTTTTTTCTGAAGCGAATTTACGGTGTCAGTTTTTTATCGAAAGATATTGGCAGATAATTTCTGATAAGGCTTGGAATTTGAATTTCTCAAGGAAAATCTTTACGATAAGAAAGCGTAAAACTTCAAGGAATTCCAAGATAAGAAGTCAAAATCTTAAACATCTTGAAACTTGGTGACTTCTTGCAATAAGATTTTAATAATAGTTGAATTGCCATTTTATTTTATAATATTGTCTGTGGTGGCG